TCTTTTTGCTTTTTCAAGAAAGCAAATTATATTCATGAAATAATATTCCTCACCTCCAGAGCAGGATACTTTAAAGGTGCCATATAAATGCAAACTATTAAGCATTATTTATCACTGGACAGCTACTACCTTATTTACATGAGGTAATGGATAATTTGTTTCAGAAAATTATAGACCTACATCTCTGTATATACTTACAGTACTGTGAAGCTTCTCAAGAAGCAAATTTAACTGAGTCTGTAAAAGAAAACAGGTATTTCAATTGTCTTGCCATGACAACCACAGAAACATATGCACAAAATAGTGATATGGCATTACTGCATGCATGTGTATTGTTAGTAAACCAAACAGAACTGATAAATCAAACATTCACATTTTTTAACAGACAAAATCATGCAAGAGTGCATGAATGGTTCTGAAAAAACTGCTTGTGTTTAATTGAACAACACCTCCATGTGTCACCAGTTATTTACTGTAATATAATTGTGATAAATAAGTGCAAGTTTTTGTTGGAAAATAAAGGAAATAATGTCTGTGTAATAAAGTTATAAAGGAAATGAGACTGACAGCAATAATTAAAAAAAATAAAATTTGTGAAAGCCCAGATTTCATCTTTAACGAGTACTTGTAGTTAAATAACACAAAAAATAGATATGAAATATGCTCAGCTTTTTTCTTGACAACAATGACAACAATGTAGTCATCAATAGTTTTAAACTACGTTTACTGAAGCTGTATTGTGATTAACAGGAGGCAAGAGTACAGGATCACCAGATACGTAGGATACCAAGAGAAACCATCACTATTAAATATAAATTAGGAGGGACTTAAGTATTCCAGAACTACGTCAGAAAAATGGTTACACTTTTATTATATGGGTATGTCTATTCTACTACATATATGACTGTTGTATCAGCCTTTCTAGCTTACCAGCAAACGTTAAGCATATAGGCTGAAGTAAAACAAAATTCTAACCGTCCTAACAGATTCCTCATTTTCCATGCTGGCACAAAAAAAAGGAAAGGAATTGATTTTTGACTGATTTTTTTTTAAAAAAACCTGATGTTTCAATTACCTTGAGTCCAGGAAATCACATTTGTCTTAGCAATATGCATCACCTACAGCTGTTAGTCTTCCTTCCCGTGGATAAAATTTTTTATGTTTCATGGATATAGTTAGAAAGACAAGGAGTTTCACAAGAGGTATGACAAACACCAATAACCTCCTGCTCAGTGCTCACATACTCTTCATATCTGCTCTGGACGCAATCATTATGTTTTTTTAAGTTGGAAATTCTTGATTTCGGAGAGTAACGTTTATTTTCATTAAGAATTATGGTTCTGGTTGAAGAAAAGTACCCCTTCCTTATATTCCATGACTTCACAAGAAATAAGCCACAGCCTCTTTCAGGCAAATTTCACTGATGATTACACGAATAAGGTATATTGCTAAAACTGCTCTTTGAACTATCACAATTTAATCCATCATTGATGCATTAAGATAAAACCATCCCAAAGATTGTACATGTCTTATGAACTAATTCATTATCATTTCCTCAACTAGTTTCTGTGAATTAAAATTGATTAGTTATAAGGAAGGGATGTTTAAAGTGCTTTGTAAAAAACAAGTCCCTGTATCAGCTAAAAATTGTTGTATTTAGAAGAATTCAAGACTTGCTGACATACTGGCAGGCTATGAATTCTTGTTCTTACAAATATGCAATTTCTATTCAGATAACAGAATTTATTTTGGCAACACCTAACGTGAAATTATCAAGGCTATTAGTGTTCATCAATACTACATGTTGTGTCTGGGAAGGTAACAGTAAATGAATTACTGAAATTAACACATACATTCAAAATGCCATGGAAGTTGGAAACACGGAAAGAACTATAGATTGATGGGCCAGATCCAAAAAGGACTTTTAGTCACGTTCTATGTGCAGAAGTGAACGAGAAAATCCAAAATGCAATCCAAGAAGTTCCTTCACAATTGTTGCCCAACTTATAAAATGCCTCTGTTTATTTCAGCCTTTCTTGGACAACTGTATCTTTCACATTTCCACATTTACAGCAAGTGGGATGCTAAATCCAAGAGGAGCTGAAAACTGAGGTGGAAGAAAGTGGAAATTATCTCAAAGAATCCCAGTTGCTTTAATTTTGAAAATGCAATTACAAAAAAAGCAATGAATTCAGCTTCACATCAAACAGATGTGCGGTTGCAGGGCTTGCTTAGCAGGCGGCATATCTGCAGGTAATTCTGTTTTCCATTCTGTCTTCTGCTCGTGCATTTTACATTAAATCAATTGCTGTAGTTTAATTCTTCTAATCGCAATGTAATAAGAAGGAGAAGGACATAATAAAAGCAAAATTCAAGAGAGCAGGATGCCCAATATTAAAGTTTTATACCAAAACTACTACCTTATAAACCAGCTCTCTCTCTTATGCTTACTGGCTCCACCAGAATTTTATTTTTGTCTATGTAACAGCCCATCTCCAGAAGAATTCCCTCAGGAGAATTCCCTCTGCTAGACTGACCAATAACTTGGTGAAAGAGAATAAATGTATTGAGATAAAACACTGAATATAGATCTGAAGCAGAATATGGTTGCTTTTTTGTATATATACAAAAAGTATGTGCTAGTACCATATCCTTCCTTTTATTCCAGCTTCTGCATTCTTCAAGAACAGTTCTAAAAACTAAGCCACAGGATACAATTACGTAAAAAGGAATTTATCTCACAGTCCCAACTCAGTACATAACATAACTTAACATGGAACAGAAATGCAGAAACACTCTTTTGCTATTGGCAAGACCCCACTCTACTTGTACATTTCTGGACTGTCTAAGATATCTGCTTTCACCAGGAGGACTCTAGGAATGTGGTTTGGGGTTTTAAGTGCCTTAAGCTAGGTAGCATACAAAAAATGTTGCAACACTTTATTTGAAGGCATGTAAATCCTTCATTGGATCTGGCCCAGATATGTTGAGAAGAGCCCTTGCTGAAATTGCAGCAGCTCTGTCAACAGTAAAACCATGAGATTGAAAAAGTTACCTGTGGCCCATGGTTGTGCCTGCTTTTCCTCTCTTAATTCCCCTATAGTTCTCTTTCTAGACATCCTGAGCTGGAATAGTCCAGCTAAAATAAAATGCTGAATGAGAAAAGGATGCAGAAAACATTTGGAGAAGACAAGGTATGAAGGTCAGCTTTACAACGAGCAGAAGAAAGGAGAAAATGAGGAGAAGCATCAGATTCAGGTATCGAGAAAGGAAACATTCAGCACAATGAACATATTTCTGTGAAAACCATGACTACCAATATTTTAAGAGGAAAAACAATGGTTAGGTTAGGCACTGAATTTTGAACATAATAAACTGCAGCCAATTCATCTTACACAGTTAAGACAGGATGGAGGAACATCTTCTGCCACATTTACAAATCCTGAAAGTCCACTGAATTCAAATTTAGACCAAGATCTATGTGGCTTTGCAAAGTCTTGACTTCTGAATTACTGCAAAAACTCTGTAAGAACTACTGTAAAAGATATTTTGACAGAAATTTGAATGTACTGTTCTCTTATATTTCAGTAGGGGAAGAAAAAAAAAAGAGTATTCAACAAATTCTTTGTTGTATGAATCCCAGGTAACCACTAGTTCTCCCATCCTTAGGTTCTACTTGTTTCAGGTAATTTAGAAATGGCATGTATTACAAGAAAACAGATTATATGCTATATTATATTACCTTGAATTTGTTTCCCACACTGATGAAACTAAGTTTCCCAGCTTTTTGTTTGGGATCTTTGTTGTTATTAGTGTTGGATTCAAACAGCTGCCGAACAAACTTGTCCTTGGATTCACATATAAGAGATTCAAGTGACATGTGCAAAGCATCATTATTTTTTTCCACAAATTGTGTCTGAAAAGAAAAGCCAAGAAATAACAGCGATTAGTCTAGCTGCCCCAATGATTGAAGGAAAATTAACAAAACACAAAGCTTCATTCAGAAGTCAAGAAGAATACTTCAGGTAAGTATTTTCATGTTATTTCAAACTTTTCAACTGCATACACAAAGTAATGAAACAGACAGAAAAGAATATTACTGGAATCATGAAACAAATCATTATCCTAACCCCTTATTTTTTCAGACATTACATTTCAGAATGCAGTATTGAATGTTTCAATGTTTTTGTATGATGATTAATCATAAAAACATACAACCAAACAGATAGCATCTGAGGATTATAACTTCAGACTTTTCATATTCTTACATGAATAATTCTATTGCCAGAAGAAATGGAAAAGTATGACACATGACTTTTAGCATAGAATAAACAGGCATTGAATACAAGGACAAGTAATGTACTGAAAAGTTACCCTTCAGTCAAGCACTTCTACATTACATAGTACATTCCCCCCTCCAGATGCAAACTTCTGTTCACGTAAGATTTGTAGTAGATCAAAGACCAACATATTTAATTTTCATACTGTTACCTATAGATTTATAAGTAGCTCCTATACAAAATATGTCAACAGAAGCCCTTCATTTGAGAAATTAAAATGTATGTTAAAACAAACTACTTGTGAATTTCCTTCTGATGAAAGGAATGTCACTGTCTTTTCTTTTCTTTTCTTTTCTTTTCTTTTCTTTTCTTTTCTTTTCTTTACCAATAAACACCACAGAGTATTAGAAATCATAACAGAAATAACTGACTTCTTTTTGCTTAAATAAAATTACCGTCTCGTAGCATACTGCTCCTGCAAAATGCCGGATAATAAAGCCTTCATCATCTCTGATATTTCTGTGAACAGCCAGTTTAGACTTCCTAGGGATCTGGAATTAAGAATTTGAATTATAAAGAAGAACCAAATTACACCAGAAAGTAAGAAAAATTTATGGCTAAGACATCATCATGATTTTGCCAGGAGCACTAAATGTTGAAGGCAATGCTTCTTGCAGCACAGTTGTGAGGGCCACTACTATTTCTATTCAAACAAAAATATTTGAAAAAAAACCTGCTTTCATTCTCATTCACACAGTCAGAGACCTCAAATTCAAAACAGAAGTGATCAGGATTGCTAAGAGCACCTAGTCAAGTTTCTTTTTGCCTTTCCCCAACAATTTCTGTTTCAATTATTTTGCAGCTGGTGACAAGTTGATGAACAGCCTTGTCATATGAATAAGATTAGACTGAAGCTTAAAATGTTTTTAAAGGGTATATACACATACTGACAAGAACTTTTCATTACATGGGAACCTAAGTAAACAAGCTAAAGAAAGAAATTTAAGAAAAGTAAAGGGTTGGCAATTTTCTTTGGCTCCCATTGTTTGCATATTTTTCAGCAGGTATTTTCCCCCCCCTTTTTTTTTTTTTTTTTTTTTTTTTTTTTTTTTTTTTTTTTTTTTTGGCATTTCAACAGAAGTTATGTACAAAGTTGCAAAGATTTACATAAACCTTCCACAGAGTGCTGTACACTAAAGAATTAACAACAACAAATTTCACCTTGTGTGTTATTCATTTTCATGACTGAAGTGCGATAGATATTTCTTGCAAATCAAACATTCTCTAGAGCAAGCAAGCAATTTTGGAAAGAAGCAACAAAACAGCTAATCTGATATTAAAAAAATCTAAATTAAAATGTATTTTTGTTTCTTTGTCACGCATTACACACTAACAAATCTGAAATATAAGTGAAGAATATGGCTTTACTTCCTACAGGATATTAGAATTCCTAGAAGACTTAACAAGCCTTTTATGAACTTTTCAACAAACACAATAACCAAACTTGTCCTTAACAAAAGCACACAGATCTGCATGCAGTGTGGTATGGAATTTCTAAGGAAAGGTTTTCATTAAATTGAGTGTTACTATCAACCGTTTCAAGAACTGTTTTATTAAAAGAGGACAGCCAGCACAAATAACCTACAGAGAGTCTGAAATGGTCCTTGTGTTTTTGGTGCACAACTGAAGTGAAATGCTGGTCACTCGGTTGAGGAAGACGATTTTCTTCATCCAAAATATCCAGCACACCTATTAATTTTGCTTCAATCAAATCTGTTAATAAAACAATGTTCAAAATTGAATATCGCATACCAGAACTGAACATTGCAAATGTAAAATGCTACTGATCTTCTTCTTTATAACTATACTGGAAAAGCTGTTAACACAAAAATTCATTAATTTAATTCTATAAATTTGATTTGTTGATTTAATCAAGATTCTATAGCAAGTTCTAGTTATATCACAAGAAAGACAGGGCAAAGAGATAAGGCAAGGATTGTTTGATTTTTACTACTGGTCTCAAGCTCAATATAATCCTCTAACTCCCACAAGGTGTGAAAATGTGGTATGAGCATAGGTCTTTATCAGGTAATTGCTTGTAACAGATAACTGCTACCACTGGCCTGGACCAATACCTTAAACAAAGTCATATTTTTACAGAAACCACGTGTATTTTTCTCTCTCAGTTCAAAAGGCAGTAGAAAATCCTTTTCTCCTGATTATACAGTAACAGAAATAAAGCATAAGTGGTGTGGTTTAATCTGGTCATACTTTTATTAATTTACCTAAGAATAATTCATACAATGAAGAAACATAAAATTTGTGGTAGGGTGACATGGAATAGTAAAAGAGGTCGCGACACAATAACATTTTTAGGAGCAGGCTTACACATGCATTACTAAATCACTAGAAGAGATATGGTTTGCATTCATGAAAGCCACATATTTCCTATTGCTATGTTTTTATTCTCTCCTCCAGATATTTCTCTATTTCTTTTTCACAGGATGGCTAAGAGGGTTTGCTTGACACGAGCTATGTTTAGTGAAGTCAGCAGTACCATCTGTACGGTCCGACCCTACAAAGTGAAAACTTCTCCAGCAGAGCTACAGAAACTTAAAGAAGCCAACATTTTGCAACAGATCTTGAATTCTGCCACTAAATCCTCTGCTCAGTCAGGACCAACTAGTTACCACAAACTGCTGTAAATGCAAAAGCAAGATGAAATTCTCTTCAAAACACACCACTTTGGAGAATATACAGGAAAAAAAAGGTAATTTCAAGTGCCCCTGGCATTACAGTCTGTGCAAACCTAAGAGCAACAGTAACATCCGCAGCCTGTTGCCTCTACTTCATTTTGCTTCTTTGCTGATTGGCTCACCAAAAAAAGAAAAAGAACAAAACAAAACCAAACAAAGGTTGTTTGGGCTTTGTTTTTTAATTCCTTGAACTTTTTCTCCCAGACACCCTCACATCCTTCTTTATTTTATATTTTAGGCATTCTGAATAGCTTGATAAGAAAATGCCCAAGAAATTAACTTGTTACTACAGTTACTACAGTTACTGCACACTGTAGGACAACACAGATCTATTACCGTATGGAAATGCAACACCAGAAGAAGTTAAAAGAAATTACCACATTTCAACAGTGATTAAGAGCATGAAAATGCTAACCTTACCTTGTAGTCTAAAGCTGTTAGCTACTGTTAGCTTCTTTTCAAGATGATGCTAATGAATAGCTTGATATTTCAAGAAAAACATACCTATACAGTCCTGATTATCTACATAGCGTACTTCATTAACCCCCAGGCCTTCTTTTTGGTAAAGTTCTTGTTCCTTTATGAAGAAAAAAAAAGGAATAACACTAAAAGAGGAAACATCACATGTGACATATTTTTTACCCACAAAAACAGAGCATTCATGAACATGCATTTTAGCATTTCCTTGTACAGCTTAATATATTTTAACTTCACATTCTTAATGATAGAAAGTCCCACTAAATACAGGACGCTGTTCAGTATTTGTGTGCCCAATTTTAATGAAGGTAAGAAAAAGAACTCTTCAATTAATATCATTTCTTTTTTAAGAAAAAGAAGAAAGGAAGATGTTGCACTTAAGAAGCCACATTCTGTCCTAGCACAACTGCGTATAACACAGTAAGAAGACCATTTGCTGATTGACTTAGTTTAATCTGAACAAAATGAGCAATCTTATGAAAAACATTAGTTTAAGTATCTTCTTACTGAGAGGAAAAAAAAACCTCCCTAAATATAACAATATAACATACCTCTTTCAGAATCCTTTCGTTAAAAAATTGCTGCAGTTTTTCATTACAATAGTTGATACAAAATTGCTCAAAACTGTTGTGTTCAAAGTATTCTGAAAAACATAAGTTAAACCACTGTGATAAACCAGCCTTCCAAGAATTTATGTTAAGAGTAAATAAGAAAAGTTCCATAGTGCTAATATTTAAAGATGTATTCTGATATGCACGTGCTTCCTTCAGTAAAGGAAAGCTCTTACAGATCTTCAAGTTGCAAGCAAGACAGAGCAAAGAATGCTGTGACAGATCATACAAACCCCTGTTACTTGTATCTGGCAGCACACCAAAGCAATGTGCCTTACAGTGGCACTGTACCAATACAACTGCATGCATCTATGTCTGGCACATGACAGCATGACTCAGAAGACCCAAAAACAAAGGTGCCTTTTTACACTGTTCTGAGATAAACTTAGCAGAGCTTCTGCACTGGAGAAAATAAGCCCTGGTCTGAATCTCAGTGATTCAAAGATTGCAAAAGCTTTACAGGAAGCATCAATGCCCACCACCGGCAGGAAGCAACACGAGAATCCATAGAATGGCTTTGGTTGGAAGGGACTTTAAGATCACTTCCCACTACACCAGGTTGCTCAAAGCCCATCCAACCAAAGTCCAACTCTGCCCATCTTCCAAGAACACATAATCTTAATTCAAAGGCTTCATTTGCCTGTCTGTCAGCAGGCAGTGATCTCAAAACTCAATGGAAACACAGTATGCTTGTTCAGCATCTTCCGTATTTTTTTGTGGGCAGCCACAGTTCAGTTCCATTTCACATTTTCAGTCTTTCCAAAAGTAGTGTATATATAGACACCACAAGAATCAGAAAGCATTAAAAAGCTGCCCAGTTCAGCAGCGCTTGTTACCATTTCTATCAGGAGAAGCTCTACGTTCTTGTATATCAGGAAATCAAGACTTTATCTACTCTCTCAATACCCTCTTAAGACCTTGTAAACCACCCCATACACAACCACCAAAAATGAAACCATCAGACTCTCCATTACAGATCTTATCATTGAATCTTTGGTGACAATATTAGACTACCACAATATTCATTTGTGTTTAACTTACCAAAACCAGCTATATCTAGAACTCCAATGAAGAAAGAAGAAGTCTCAAATGGAAAACACTGGTTCACTCTGTTCACCACATGGTCAAAGAGATGACTGTATACCGTTTTAGCCAAGGCATCACGAGCATTGTTTGCTTGTTCCACCTTCAAGGGTACCCTATAAAATAAAAACAGAGATATTATATTCCAGAATTTCTCACTTCAAATTACTCAAATCAGGCCTTGAACCTTTCCTGTCTTTTTAAGTTAGGAAGCAAAAAGTCTGAGCCTAAATCCAAGTATCAGGACACAATCTTGCCAGGTAAGACTAAGTATATTGTATGTAAAAAGAATGAATAATGTTTCATTATTCCAGTAGCAATAAGATACAGATGATTTCCTTCTCATTCACAAAGTAATCCAAGATTATATTGTTAGTAGCCAGAGAAAGACATCTAAAATACATACATTGCCATCAACTATTTATTTAGGAGTTACCTACTTACAATGAAGGCTTTTGTTCAGTTTTACTCTGAAATCTTTGACTCCGTGTTTTCCAAAAGACAGTAATTGAAATTATAGCACTGTAAATGAACTGATAACAAAACAAACATCCACACAGATCTCATGGCGAAATTTAGATGCAATTCCAATGTAAGGAGGATTCTCTTCCAACACCAGAAGAACAACTTCCATCTCTTGTTATAAATTCATTTTATATTTCGACTATTAATTACAAGTTTATACTGTAATTAAGTACTTAATGTTATCTGGAGTTCTGAAAGAAACTCCCAAGTTCATAGTCAATGAAACGTGTGACTATGTACCATGGGAATATCAGGTAAATACACATTCTAGCTATACATATAATGTATATCTCACTAAGTCAATATGACAGAGACATGCATGTTTTTAAAAGGACATTTAACTGCCTTACTTCTTGCATAAATATATCCTACAAGACTTTTTTTCTTTTAAATAGGTTTCCAAGTAACAGACAGGAGTACCAAAACTAAATGCAGTTACACTCAGGAAATAACAAACTGCAACTTTACAAACAAGCAAGAATCTACATTTAAGAAATAACTCATCTTAACTATTCAGTCAATAGTTCAAGGTTTGAGGCTTGAGATGTGATACCCACAGAACTGCTCTGTCGCCCTCTCCAGGCAGCATTCTTTACACAAGAATATAGAGAAGTAAATCAGAAGGAAAACACTATATAGCTTACCCCCATTGCAACATTTCCTTTACTTCCCAGGATTCATGAGCACTAACTCATAATCACTGTATTTCTGAAAGATGACACATCTGATGCAGAAACGTGGGACTGATGGAGATCACTTTCTTTTGTGACTGATAAGACAGGGAACCAGATACTCTGTTCACTAAGGACACCTGAAGCTAGATTACATTAGATAGTAATTAGCTTTAACACACAATCTTGTCTTCCACTAAGGATCTCCTGACTTATCTTAGGGTAACAAGTAGTGACAGAAATCTTACCCTATAAATAGAAGGAAGATACCTTTACATTCCATTCTGATACATTTAAGAGATCAGAATGCTAATTCCCACGTGTCAGCAGCCACCTATTGCATAATACATACGACAGACTAAAAGCATTCACACTTCCAATTCTTTTAAACATTTTTTCAAGTGTGTTGAACAACATAACAAATAGTTGTTAGACTCTTAGAGCACGTGCTTAATAAAATGGCCCTATTCTTCAAAAATATCACGCTCTACCATCTTCAAGTACAATTCCAAAGACTGTACAAAAGCTATCTGAAATTATCATAGTATGCAGCAGAAACTTAAGAGGAAAAAAATGTAACCTGTAATGTTTTTTTTTTGCACAGTTGGAGAATGACAGAACCAAAAAATAATGCTGGAGTTTCATTGAATCTGTAAATACAGAAGAGCACTATAACATAACTGACGCTCAGAATGAATGACTTTCCTCTCGTGAACTTTCCTTCCTTGAGTCCCTCCTTTCCTCTGGTCTGCTCACTGGCAAAGCAGTCTCTTTTCTCCTATTTCTTGTCTGAACAAAAAAAGATGCATTTCCCTTCTTCCATTTCTCCTTCTCCCTCCTCCTCTATCTATCAGCTACTTGCAAAGAACATGGAAGGAATTATTCCAATTTTCTAGTCATCTGCAAAGTCTGTAAGAAAAAAACCTTGTTCAACCCTTGTTCAAACTTATTTATTTTATGAGGTTTCCAGAGATTCACAGAGTCTGAGGCCTAGGGGAAAGCTCTCTCATGGGCTAGGTTTATTCTGTGGACAATTCCATGCAGCCTTCAAAGATTCTTCAATATTTAATATGATTCAGTTTACTTATCCAGACCAAATGATCTGCAATTAAATACACGTAATTTGACCACAGTAGTCAACAGCTGGGGAGAGAGAGTAGATGAAGCAATACCCAGGAGCCACTGCCATCCAATCAGATTACCGCTTCACAAACAGAATGAAATAAACCCTACCTAATAAAAAGTTTACTTAATTAAAAAATATTTAAGTACTATCACTACAGATGCACTGCGGTAGAAAATGTCCTACTCCAAAAGGGGTATAAAGACTTGAAACAATGTCAGTAAAATGTTCCATACTGCAAATAATGCACTTTGTGATGATGGAGCTCTGCTAGAAAGCCTCCATGGAAAGGGTGAAGCTGAAGAACAGAGCAGCACACTGTATTTCCAGCCAATGAGGTGTACTGGACTTTGAATACAAACACATTATTTCTCTCTGTCAACGTGCTTTATATGGATGGCAAAGATAACAGCCAACAAGGTGATTAGTATGCTTTTTGGGGGAGACTAAAAAGGACACAAACCTACTGCAGCTGTCAAAACTCCCTGGCAGGCCACTGCGCAGTAGTATTTAATAAAATCCATGGAGACAGCAGTTAGCATCACTCTCCTACTGTTCCTTGCTGGCTCCATTGTGCCCAGCAGAACAAAGCATTTGTTATGCTCCAAGCTCAGCGATTTCAGCTGAGCCATTTATTCATTGTGACCTACAAGGACTCACATGATCTGCTCTCACACAAAAAGTCCCTAAGAAAGCGAGCAAGCAATGAGAAGCTCTTTGGGTGGCTGAACAAAATAAAACAATGCACTTGTCAAATTTCTAATACTGATAGCAATCAAATTGTTTCTAAATCGCACTGCCATAGCAAAACCTGGTGGCTACTTAGTGAATATACGCAACAGTCCACTCTACTCTCCTTGAACACACAGTAAGTCATATGTGAAGAAGATACTATTGTGCATTCATTAGCATATACTTGCTTTCAGCTCCACAAGTTCAGAAAAGGCTAGAGACAGAGGCTCAGTGCATTCATCTTTTGAGATTGTTGAGGGAGTCCTCTGAATCTTTCTTTGCCTTCCACAAAACAAAACACTGGGGAAAACTAAGATCTGCTAGCACAAAAACACAGCTACTTGTGCTTGCAGGCTTTTGAAACAGTATACTGCTAACTGTGCCTCAGGCTTATCAGAATAAATACAGTGAACAGAAAATCTTTACAGTCATAAATTCAAGGTGAATTCAAAGTGGTAGCAAAAACTATATATACGTATCAGAGTAAGTCAGAGTTATGTATAAGCACTTCAGATACAACTGGATAGTAAAAACATCAGTTTGACATGCCTTGATAAGAAACCTTGCTTGACAGGGTCACTTGAGAAGTGGTGAAAGAGAAGCAATATTTGTGATCCACTTTATTTTAGCGCTTGATACATCCCACCATTCTCAAAATTAAAAATAAAAGGCACAGTTTACCTATTTGCTATGTGTACAAAAGCCAAAAGCAATCAATTGTCAGAGACTGAGTCAATAGCTCACAAAAAGCACTTCCAGTGAGGTGCCAACAGAATCCAACATGGATGTGTTTTGTTCAAATCCCTCTGCTTACAACTTCCACTAAACCAGAATGTCAAATTATGAGTATTTTCATAAAAACATTCTGTTAATACTGAACTAAGGAAGAGAGCAGGAAATAAGATTAGAAAGAAAAATATTTTTTACCAACAGAAGACACGGTCTTAAATTCCACAAGACAGGTTTTGCTGAAGAAAAACATGTATACATGTAGTATACTCAAGAACAATGAAAAATACAAATGTAAGATGGGGAATAACCAGATGAGCAGTGACTAAAAGAAATTTCAATAGTGGATCACAAGACGAATCAAGGAAAAAAGGTTAAAAATCTCATTCAATCATGCATTCACGAGTGACATCCATTGTGTATGATATATAATTATCTGCTATAACTTTATCAGAAATACTGACAAAGGTTCTGCTGTATTAATATATCAAAGACTGCTGTCACTACAGGACTTGCATCTTTCTGGATGCTCAGGTTTATGAAAAGATAAAGATTTCTAAGGTTTCCATATCAGCTGGTAAGAAGACAAGATGATAGTGGTGAGGTTCTCAAATTAATAATAATTGAGGGAGAAGAAAAAAAAAAAAGAAAAAAAAAACAAACAATCACTTTCCAGAAATGCACTACTGAAAGCATTATGAAGAAATCCAGATGTTGAGCTTCCACAATCCTTGCTTATTAATTGTCCCTGTACTACAACTTTTTCAGTGGTAACCTCTATTAGGTTTTACCTCTTGCATGTTCTTTCTTTCCAAGTGTAGAAATGAGAGATCACCAAGAACTACTTTTTTGCTCCACCTAGAAATAAACCTCAAAGATCAGTTATTTCATGAAAACATGTTATCAGGACAGCCCGCATCCACGCTGAACTGAAGATCCCTGACACTCCACAAGAGAGGTGGGCCAGCAGGGACTAGGAGGTGATGGTTCCTCTCTACTCAGCCCTCTTGGGTCCTCATCCAGAGAACTGCATCCAGATCTGGGGCCCTTAATACAGGAAAGATGTGGAGTTGTTGGAGAGGATCCAGAGAAGGGCCGCTAAGATGATGAGAGGGCTGAGGCCTCTCCTAATAAGACATGCTGAAGGAGTGGGTTTTTTCAGCCTGGAGAAGACAAGGCTGCGAAGAGACCTCACTGCAGCCTTACAGTATTTAAAAGGGTTTTATAAAAATGAGAGGAATCAACTTTTTACAAGGGTAGACAGTGATAGGACAAGGGGGAATGGTTTTAAGCTCAAGGAGGGAAGGTTTAAATCGGATGTCTGGGTGATGTTCTTTACAGACAGAGTGGTGAGGTGCTGGAACAGGCTGCCCAGAGAGGCTGTGGATGCTCCATCCCTGGAGGCGTTCAAGGTGAGGTTGGATGGAACCCTGGGCAATCTGATCTAATACCAGATCTGGAGGTTGGTGGTCCTGCAGTGGCTGGGAGTCTGGAACTTTATGATCCTTTGAGTCCCTTCCAACCCAAGCCATTCTATGATTCTGTGATTCTACAAGGCACATTAACACAATAAATATGGCTTTCATAGATTAAACCTTCTGGTATGGCATGCATGAGGCTGTATTTCTGACTCAGTGAAAGCAAAGCAATCCGATTGTCCCCCTGAATCAATACAAAGCTCCCTTGCACTCTTCTGATGAGTGAATGTTAATTAGTTTTTTAATTAAAACATCAATGCATCCAGCTAAACATAGGGCAGCTTTCAATTTGCTCAAAACTGCTTAGCCCAGATTCAGGTTGACAGTTCTCTTCAACTGCAGAAAAAAAGAAAAAAAAATGCAGCACGTTCTGAGATGACACAGTCGTGAAACCAAACGCAGAAGCACGTAATGCAGTTGCTCACAGCATCCATCCTAAACAGCCGCAGCGAGCTGCAGCTCGGTTCGCAGCTTGCAGCGCATTGCTTTCAGCCCCCAGAGGCTCACCCGGGGCCCCAGCCGCCCGCCGGCCCCAGCTGCCCGCCCGGCACTCACTTGATGACCGTTCCTTTGGTGCCCCCTGCCGTGGTGAGCATGACGCGCGTGGTCAGGCTGACGCGCAGGTCCTCCTCGTCCAGCCCCAGCAGCGCCGCGCAGCACTCCAGCGCCGGCTGGCTCCGCGCCTTCAGCGTGCAGCCCCCTGGCGGCAACCACCACAACTGTTAGCCAACCGCCTCTCACCTCACCTTTCTTGCTTCTTTCTTTCCTATTTTTTTCTCTTTTTTTTTTTGATGGGGAAGGCTATTGAGGGCATCGAGATGTTTAAAATACATGGCGCCACAAGCAAGGTTTTGCCACTCTGCAAGTATTTCTGTGCATCAGATTCTGTATTTTTAGAATTTTGTTCTAAACGTGCACTGTTCAGAATGAAAGAACTATCCCAAAATATTAAAGAACATTGCTCGCACACGTAAGGTGAGAGCAGAACACAGTATGAATTTGCAACAAACATTTTTAAATATAAGAATTTACTACAGAAAATGTGAGCTTGAATTTCCACATGCAGAGAAAATAACTATTCTTGTGCCCTCCTTCCCTCTGACTTTCCACACCTTCCCTTCTCCTTCTTCGTTGGTTCCTGAAATTGCTCCTCCATTCACATTCTCATCTCTCTCACTCTGTCCCACCTTGCCTTATCCTTGTCAATCCCAAACTCCAATCTCACAGAAGGCCCAATTATGGAAGCCGGTGTACTAAAGAGCCCATGAGGCCACTGTCCTTCTCTACCCCCACATCCTCTCATCTTCACAAAGATGGCAAGATCATAAATAGAAACTGGGGAGGTTCTGATAAGACAGCCTCACTATGACAATCATGAAACAGTGGGAACAGGTTTCCTACAGAAGTTGTACAACTTTCTCCTCAGAGGTTTTCATATCCCCATGAACAATCCTATGCTATGCAGTTTCAATTCCATGCTGGCCTCGATTTGACCAGCAAATGTTGGACAACAGACAGTCTGTCATCCCTTCCCATCCGAAGGTTTCTGCAATTCTGCGGTGATTCTGCATTTGGATCAGGAGCCCCTGAATCTGCAAGGCTAAAATTTGTTTAACACACCTTTTCAAATGTTCTTTGCAATACCTTTACCAAAAACTTTGGACAAGCACAGTGATACATGGAGTAGGACTAAAAGGAACTAATCATGCTTTATCTTGCATTAGAAGATTAATACCTCTATGTTTTTGTTTATTTGTATTTTTAAACTATAGTCATGTTTGTAATAAGTCTAGGTCAGGAGTTTGTTCAAATCTTTAGAAATCTGTGAACAACAGTTCTCAAGTTACAAAAGCCAATTTCAGTAGTATGGCAAGAATGCCCATTCCCAAAACAGAATGTTCCCCTTCCTCAGCCTTCTTGTGCAGTTTGCTAGTAAGTACCAGCAACACTCATAGCAACTTGTCTTCTGAGTTAACATCTTAAAATGATTAAGTTTACCTTTATCAAAATTTTATTTCAACTTTTGCTTCATCTCTCAAAAAATATTAACCTAGCATTTTAGAAGCCAAACAATCTAACAACTTTCACTGAAGATGGAACAGTTAAAGGTTTTTCATGACATCAGCAAGAAGTTGAATTTATTTTATATATTATTATTAAAATTAAATAACAGTTTTGAGATACAAAATATCTCTTCTTTATACCAAACTTTGCACAAACAATTCTTCGAACGATTTCTGTGAGAGCATTTGAAGTATAGCTATAAAACTTGACTTCAAAACGGGATGATTTAAGGCTGAATTACCCTTTAATAGAAGGCAGCATTCTAAAGCAGTAATTCACATGAAAAAGAATTATCTATAATCAAGAGGTATTTTCACTATTTTGTACAGAAAACAGTTTGCGTTTCTTCTAACCTGAAGTGCTCCCAGCTTCCTCAAAATCAATATTTCCAAGGTGAAGGACACCAGCCACTACTCGAAAAAGGTCAAGTTTTTCTGCATCATCCAGTCCAATCTTCTTCATTGCTGTGCACATTCTGTTAAAGTCTCCATGGTCATCTAAGAGTGGATCCTTCAAGGAACCTGCCTTAAGATACTATAAAGCAACAAGATGGAACAACAACAACAAAAAAAAATCAGCATGAGATTTTAAAATATATGTAAACAATTATTTCCAGGCAAGAATAAACCATAACAAAAAGCATTAAAAAGCATGCAAAACCCAAACTAAATACAGATTAGAGCTCTTCATACACTATGTGATTTGGAAGAACCCTAATTTGTTTTCATTTGTTGATACTTCAGAGCATGAGCCTTAAAACTTCAGTCTGTCTTCAGAAAGCAAATTCTGTATAGTTTAATAAGGAAGGATAGGAAAATAGAGGATGGTTGTTGGTGGAAAGGGAAAAGTTTGACTAAAGGAGCTTTAAAAATATTTCTAAAAGTATCTAAACAGATTCATTAGAGAAATATATTGTTAATGTTTGCTGGTGAAAGAGAAACAGTGAAGTTGTTAGAAGTATCCTAGTGGCTAAAAGAATAGCAGACAGATTTTAAAATGTCAATTTCACATTACGCTGACAGAATTTCCTATTTTAAATACATCAGAACTAATTTTAATAATTGTTTTAAATAGTAGTGAAGCATCCACATGCAATCAAGAACCTAACTGAACATGCATTAGCTCATTTGAGTTTTCACAATTACTTGAAAATGTTTTCAACTAAAAAGAATTAATAATTTAAGTAGAAGCTTTGTTAATGCCAAATAAGCTAACAATTACGTCAAAAGAAAACACCACATGCATCTGAAAAATTCACTTCACACAACATTTAGACACATTGATAAAATTAATCTACATGTTTTAATTATGTAAAATGATCACCTCATCTTCCTGATAAGGAAAACACAAAAATAATTTAAGTATTAATCAACTATTTCAGCTATTTTTATTAAAATAAACAATATTTTTCATTAAATGACAGCAAGTATCAATATCTGATTTCAAAAACTAACTAAACAATACAATGTATTTCCTGTTTAAGTGGCTAGATTAAGTTTTTATATAACTAAAATTTGCACCTATATTGCTTCTTCAAATTGACATCACTGTAATATACAGGCATTATAGCATCACATGTTCCATTATTTAATAGCCAATAGCTATTTTCAGAATTACTCTACAGTTATAGTTTTAGTTTACAGTTACAGTTATAGTTTTAAACAAACATTTCTTCCAAATTAAGTACTTCAGAGACATATTTCATGACAGAACACCAAATTGTACATCTCATCTGGAACTGGAGCTGCACAAGTCCATCTTTGAGTAGCAATGGTCGCTGAACGGTATTATTTTATGCCTCTGTAAATTGTCAGCTTCACAACAAATCTTCATTTAAGGCAAATTAGGCAAACTGCGGCAAAATCTCCCAACCACCTCTTAGACTACGCACTTGAAAAGTTAAACATCTACCAGCTTTGTGCCCCACACTATTATCAAATCAATACTTCTGTATCTCACTCTCCATTATCCCTGATTACAGAAAATAGCCTGCATTGAAGAAAAAGAAATTGGCATTACGTGCACAACACTGCAACATATAAACACTAGAAACCCAGAAGCAGATTTCACAATGTCAACTTAAGCAAGGGAAGCATCTGTACTGCCTTTTTCACAGTTACACACAAGCTATGTACAAGCTGAAATCAAAGTTCTCAAAGGTAAAAGAGGCTGTATGGTCACGTGGGGAGAGAAACTCTTGAGTCAGCTTCTACGTGTAACTTCCTCTGTTACTGAATCACAACTATGGGTATCTTTAAGCAAACTGTTATCTTCCAGCTATACAAATAAAAATTTATTATTTTAGGTATGAACAGATGAAAAGTTCATTAGAGTAGAAATATAACAAAGCATTTAAAGTACATCCAATTCACATATACAATTAAATGAGATTAATTTCTTTAAGTGTCCTCAGGCAAACTGCTCAAAAGGATTGCTTGATTTTTAAAAGTGTAACAGGAGATGAGAACACCTTCTTTCCTCCTGCTCCAAGTTCCACTGTCTCCTCCACGAAATGCCTCTTTTGCTATGTAACAGTCCACAGCAAGGGACAACAAATAAAGGCAGTGTACTAGGAAGGGGTATATACTTAAAAATCCAGACAGTAAAAATGGCTTCAGAAGAAAAATACAATTTCTGAACCATTCCTAACAGTATCCAGATTTTGAAAGAAAATGAGAAAAAACCATGGTTCACTTTTTTGTTTTCTATGGAAGACATGCCTGCATCATCAACTGTTCTACCATTGTAAGAATGAGAAGCAAACAATTTTATGTAGTGTTCCATTTACAATTTTAAGATGCACATTCACATATGCTTTTAGGACTAAATTCCAAAAAACTTCAGCACTACCCATTTAGACCTATAAAGATGTGTAAAATGAACGTTTCATTCCACATTGTAAAACTGTGATAATTTTAAACTCTATCTAAATTAATTAACATAAACTCACTGAAGATACAAAACATACCTCAGGACTCTTGCGATTTTGCAAAATCTGCTTGTCTGTTTCTTTGGTAGCAAAGTACCTTGTGCAGCCTCGATTTAGATACTGTGACAGTAAAAAAGAAGAAATGCATACTTAAAGATAGGAGGGAGGAAAACATGCTATTATTTATGGCTTGTTTTGCATAGTTTGTTTCTATCGTATAGCAACAATGCTACAGCTATTCAAAAATGTTTTCAAGGAATGAACTCTATTTATTACACATACAAAATTAGAAAAGTGCAACAGTAACAAATTATTACTCTAATGCAATGGAGAGTGGTATAACATAAAAGACAACCAAAAACCAGGAACCAAGAAAATACATTGCCTGACCTGTTTGTAATATCTAATTTTACCTCACCAAAAATCATATGCAACATCAGATAAAATTCATAATAATATTTATTTTCAGCCACATAGAAGTTTTATATAGTACAGTGAGGTGATGAGAGAGTAAAGTTCAAGCTGTGATAGTATCTACAGCATACTTTTATGGTCATTGTTTCTCACCAGAGATATATTTCTATAGTTAGTCAGAGACATGGCATAATAAAAACCACAAATAGTGTTAATCTAGTATAAGTCTAGATCAGAATCTGGCTTCTGACATCCATCTCACATTGTACAGTAAAGGGAACAGGCTTTCAGATGATTGGCACTTCCAGAAAAATGGGATCATCAGCTTTTTCCTTCTGATTGGTTCAATTGAAAATACGAACTCTGTCCAAAATCTTAGCAGGAGCTCTTTGTCTTAGGGAATTAAACTGATTTTCTTGGTCTGCCCACAAACAAATAAGTTTTCAACTGCGTGAACCCAGATAATTTTATGTTTTGATTAAAACTTATATACAGAAATCTAAGAAACAGCAAAAAAAACCTAAATGACAAATTTCATATAAAAAAAAAAATTGACAAGAAACTGTTTGAAGGTAGCTTGCTGTTGAAATATTGGAACATTCTCTACATCAGCAAAGAAGAATGCAAAGCATGCTGTATTTTAAATACAACAATATATCCTTGTATTCAGTATTATTAAAAAGATCCTAGAAAATGAGGGTGGAATGTAAAAAAAGGTCAAGCTCAACAGACTGAAAAAATGAACCAGCATGGCATCCAATAATTACCTGTGTTGGAGATATTTAATCACAAGATAGTGGCTTTCATTTGAAAGCTAAAAATTCATGTACATTTAAACCTGAGGTAAATTATATTTTTAAGGCATGCAAACACATATCCTGAGAATATAACACGTAAATATCATTTAGATTTACTTTTCTTAAAAAAATAAAAATAAAAAAACTGCCCACACCTCTGAAGTTTTACACTCCACTATAACTTCAGTGACCCAAACATAATGCAACCTGAATTCTCTTTTAGCTATCAGGATCTGAAAAAAAAAAAAAATCAGCTTCTCATATTCATCAGCTATGCTCCCAGTGCAGATTTACTGCACAGCTTTACTTTCAAAGCCACGTTGTGCTGACAAAGCCACCTTGACCAACAACATTCAGCACCTAATGACTTTGAATCTCTGAAAACTTCTGCAAGGAAACCCAGAATATGAGCAAGAAGGATGGCATGCTTTTGTGCACATGTATTCAGTGAAGGGGCAGTTAAGAACAAAGACAATAACCTACAATTCTTTACTGTCCTTTGCCTAGTAAATTCAGGGGAAAGATGATCTAATGGAGAGGCATCCCCCACGAGCATTGCTGAAATTCAGTTAAATAGTTCAGGCTGGTAAGCCCAATGCAATTGTCTTGGATCATATCCCCAGAGCAAGCAAGCACTAGCACCAGGACAGCCAAATGATAGAAGATGACAACAGATCACTTAAGTCAAGGGGAAGTATGGCAGGTGAAGAAACAAAAGAGAACTGAATCATCCTTTGTCTTTTAATACTGCTTCACTTCTATGTAAAGTGGGAATCACCTTAGATTTGAGTTGGCCTTATTTTCAAGTTAATACAGTTAAGAGAAAGCAGACATTGAGTAAAACATGCATGTGTCACAGGACCCTCACTGGTCCTAATTCAGACTTTGACTTGATAATCTACAAGCCACGTGCAAAATAAAGCCAATGTAAAAGTATGTCTTTCAGGACGGCATTTTCTAAGCAATCTATTTAAGAATATAATCTCCTTGAAGTTGCTTTTTTTTTTTTTGCCAAGCCTCCAAAAGATTAACATTAATATCTAAACATTAATCAAACACCAAATGCTGGTTAGCGTAATATCTTTATCTATGAATAGAAGTTCGATAGATGGTGTTTCCTCAGTAAATTGAAAAAGACAGATGTGCAGTCAGCAAAAAATGCAGTGAAAAAGTAACTCAGGCATTATTATTCAGTCACATTTTATGGCAAATATCTGGAAAAGTAAATGAGTGAAGAACATAGAAAAAATAATTCATACAAAAGTAATAGAGATTAAGGAAGAAATTTTACCTTTAATATTCTTTTCCTAAAAGCCTATAAAGTGTTATTTCATGAATATTTAGTACAATATGACCAATAATTTTGAAGTATATTATAATATATTTATATTAATTTGCATACAAAGATGTGTAAACACTGAGAAAGTGATCATAAATTTCCTTTTGACTAAACATAATCAACTTCAGAAGGTGAAAAAGAAATGTTGCATTTGTTAACATCTAACATGCACAGCAGACCTTTCTCATGTAGCAAGGAGCACAGGACTCATATACTAACTTCTAGAGAGGTAACAAATATTCCCAGGAGAAATGAGAGTACCTGTCGCAAATTCAGTAGAAGTCCAAAAAATAATATTCAAGTCTGATAAGACAGGTGTCACTGTGAGCTCTTTAGAGGGGGAACAAGCACAGTGAGTGCCTTCTGTACAGACATCCATGTTGTTCAGTACTATACTGCACCAGCCTGATTTTAAGCAGGTTATAAGTGCGACCTTGAGATCTACAATATCATGCAGTCTCATGAGCAGAGCTTTTGATTAAAACATTCCCAAGAGAGGGCACGTAGCATATCAGATACAGAATTAAAAATCTATTAACTACAAGAAATATGTATTAATGAAGAAGAGACTACTCACAGAATCACAGAATTGTAGGGGTTGGAAGGGACCTCTAGAGATCATAGAGTCCAACCCCCCTGTCAAGCAGGTTCCCTACACCAGGTCGCACAGGTAGGCATCCAGGCGAGACTTGAACATCTCCAGAGAAGGAGACTCCACAGCCCCCCTGGGCAGCCTGTTCCAGTGCTCCGTCACCTCACTGTAAAGAAGTTCTTGCGCACATTCGTGCAAAATACTCAAAAATATTCATTTCATAAGCTGCTGAAGGTTTTTGCGTTAAAACATTAAAAAAAAAAATAGAATACAGAATATTGTATGTAACAATTTTACAATAAAGTTCTGGCTTTTAGGAATTAAGATTGTCTAATACAAAATGGAATATATGGAACTATCTTAGATCTCATCTACATAACTACTATTTGGTTCAAAAGTATCAGGAACTTTGCATCCTTAAGGCTTCTGGCTTCATACTGAATTTTACAAAATACAGACGACACCGGGTAAAGTAACAGACAAGCACAATTCAACAAGCTTTATTTAAAAAAATCAAGTCATAGAAACAAACAAAAAAAAAAACCTATCAATGTAGTAGCATAATGCTTTGTTAGCAGTACTCCTCACCCCACTTAAGCCAATAAGTGGGTCAATTAATTTTTGTCCTTCCAATTCTACATGCTCTCCAGGTTTGTGTTACATAGACCTTACAAGCCCTATGCAGCAGTTTGCTCTGGGTACTTTAGAAATGCTCAGTTCTGTTTCAGTGACATTCCAAGTCAAGCATATCCCAAGAAACAACACAAAGGTGAAGACAAGTGGCAGAACTCGAGCAAACTGATGCCTAACAGCATGATTTGCTTTGCCGATATTTTTCTTTTCAACACAAGGCAATAAAGCACATGATGATATTTGTATATATTACAGTTTATGTGTGATTGTCAAAAGGAAACAAACCAATATATTTGTAAATCAATAACAAAATTGCAAGAATGAGTGACTGAAGTCTTCACCTGAGAAGTAAAATCAGTGATAGCAGTCTAAAATGATGAAAGGCTTAGAAGTTCCCCAAAAGGGAAGACAACAGCTTGCTTTAATGGGAAACAAATCGGGGGGAAGAAATCAAGAAAACAATGAGAAACAACTATATAGTTGCACTGGTTGCACGCCAGGACAACATTACTAGTTCATCAAGAAAAAAAAAAAAAAAACAGACTGCAATTATCACAGAGTAAAACACTGAAAATCAAATTTAAAATTTGAATTTAAAAATAAAGAGAATTTAAAAATAAAGGAAGTAGGGTTGGAATCACACAAATAGAATACAGCAGCAAAGATGTTTGACTGGGAAGAAGGAAAAGAAAGCAAAGGAAATCGCATAATTTGTCAATTGCTTTTGAAAATAATCCAGTGACATCTGCAGGAAGAGAAGCAAGAAGAAAGAAGGAAAGCTGGAACAAAAAATTAAACTGAGGTTGTAAAACTATTTAGTAAAAGATGGGAGGAAAACTATGCCAAAATGTAATGGTAGCACAGAAAACCAGCCTGCTTGTGGGATTTCTGATGGAAATGTAACATACAATCTGGGTTAGTCAGGCAAAACCACATGATCTCAGGAAAGGGAAAAAATGTCAAAAATAAAGCATGGGGAGAAGAAGCGAGGACAGTAAACAAATTAAAAGAACGGCCACAGTGGTTTGAATTAAAAGGTCAATGCATACTATCCAATATCTCATCTTCAACCATAACCTGTATTTCACCCAAAGATTTTACTATTCCTTTCTGAGCTGACAAAACAGCACACAATTTACAAGCATGGCAACATAACACACCATTTCACTCTTCTACTTTCCTAGTATTTCTTGAAATTCTACTCTTGCCATTTTTCTGACACTGAATATTAAGCTAACATTTTTAAAGAAGTACATAGAATTATTCCTTCCTGTTATTTTAAGTTCATTTTCATGTAGGTACTGTTAAGAACACTATATTCAGCACTGACTGTATTTGTATTTTATTTTCCTGTTCTGCAGCTGAGTGACTGAACCAGTAAATGTTGAAAAACAGCAAAAACCCAGAAAAAAAATAAGTAGTCCCTGGGAAAGAATAAATTAGCAGATGAAAAACAGAAGGAAAAGCATGCTTAATAACGAGAAGTAATCCTGGGCAGAAGAGGTGAGCACGAACTTCAGGTTAAATGGAGATAGAAGTGCAAGTTTTCAGCCTAACGGATAAGCGAGTCTTATCATACAACCTGGGGTGACCAAGAATGACAGATAGTTTGAGGAGAGAAACAGGGAAACTGGGGTAATGCTAATGACGAATCTAGACATCAGAGAAAGATAGAAACAGGACACAACAATGCAGGAAAGACAAGGGAAAGTACATAGATTTCAACAGAGAAGTACAATCACTTTATCACCATGATTTGATCCTTGGTATGAAGTGTGAGGTAATAATTTGAAAGACACAATCTCAGGACAGAAATATCAGGCCTTCCTTAATACATGGTTGGAAGAGGAAGAAATAAAAGCAGTCTTTATAAGGATCCCACAGAACAGTTGGGTCACAATCAAAAAGTTTGCACTTTCCACCTCAAGAAAAGCCAACAGCAAAATTATGAGCAACTGGGTATGCAGTGGTACCTTACTGGAAAAAGCAAAGATTCCTCAGTTTTAAAACACAGAGGAAAACTACAGGAAGCTTTCCAATAAGAACAAAATGGCTAACAGTTCTATGCCCAGATCAAATAGATTCTCATTTTCTGAATTTTGTAGCAGAAAAAAGTTTATCAAAGATAATAAACAGATAATTTATTAAGATTTAAAAGAGACGTCCATGTGTGGCAGCAATGTAAAGCTTTACAACTACTGACTCTAATACTTACCCTGAAGCTGTCAGGAGAGCTTAGATACAGTTTTTCTCTAATGTCTTCTGGAGCACCGGCACAAAGCCTGTAAAAGATATGATAATTCCTCTCTTCTTTGCCTTGCACACAGATCCGAGATTTCTCCAGAAGATAATGTGATACAAATCCACCAACCACCGAGTTCTAGGAGGAAGAAATATTTTTCTGATTACTTGAATTTTTATTTAATATTTATTTTTAGATTATTTGTGTGAGAGTTTTTCCATTTACAATTGTCTGCTCAAGTCTATTTCAACTGACACTGCCCCAGAGCTTAAAATATATATTTTAACTAATGGGTATCAAGCTTAAGATGAGAAAGTTTCCTCTACCATAACTTCTCCTCGGTGCAAGTACTGTGCCATGTACATTTCTCTTACCAGAAGGCTCTACTTCATAACGACAAGCAGAAATCCTACATGCATATGCTTAAGCTATTCTAGCTAAAATACATTCAAAGAAATATCTTCATAGGCTACACAGCGAGTAGTACTTCTGACCAAAAAAATAAAAAAAATAAAAAAATATAAAAAAAAAATCAATTTTAAGACTTTTTTCACATACATAGCATTAATGTGAAGTCTTAAAATTTTATACAAATACGTAACAATCAGAAATTCATATAAAATATTAAAGCATTAAAATAAATTTATAACAGCTGATACATATACACAATTCACACCTGTTTGTGAATTAAAGGAATGCATAAATGCTTAAGAGCAATTAAGTTAATCTTCAGTTTGCCTTTTCCCTTTGTGTGATGTTTGGATGGAAGCAATTTTCCCATTGATTTGACACACAGTTTTCCAGCAGTGACACAGTGCTGTGGCTTTCCTTTCACGGTGATAAATATAAATCAAATAGGAAAAGCAAGGACAGTGAGTATTTGGTATAAGATAAGTCTATTTAACCTACTTCCAATCTAGCATTTCCATTCTATAGCAAAAATCATCACTATTATCTGTATCAAAACTCCAGTACCTTCTCATTGAAGTGAATTTCCACGAATTTCCCAAAGCGACTGCTATTGTTGTTACGAATAGTCTTTGCATTTCCAAAGGCTTCCAATAATGGATTTGCTGATTATAAAAAGTAAATATTTAAAGAAGTGTTAAAACGTGATCGATGAAGTACCAGCAGGAAAGGGAAAAATAAATTCATACCAATTATTCAGTTAACTTATTAAGAATAAGGTGTGAAAATTAAAGGAAAAATATTACCTATTATAAATAACTCATTTTGCAAATTGTACTGGATATACAGTGGTGGAATTTACAATGAAGTGTTTAAATGTCATATAACACTGCAAAATAATTGAATTAATACTGTAAGAAATTCAGAGACGATCACCAAAAATGATTCAGTGGTGTTCTTCTAACAGCAAGCAGCTAAATAAATGATACACAAACTATAAGATACAATACACAATTTGACATTTCCCAATGAGTTGTTGGTCATAAAATCTAAACTGCCCATTTATCCCATCGACAAAAATGTCACTGAAATGTCATGCACGTATTAGATTGATTAGGAAAAAAAAAAATTATTAGAAAAGCTGTTTTCAAAACCACCTTAAAAGTGCCCTTTCAGATTAGCTGGATTAAACGAATGAGAGATTTTTTTTTTTTTTTTTTTTACTGGCTGCAGCCTTCAAGCATCTTAAAGACAAATCCATACAGAAAGAGCTGCTGCAATCTAATGCTTGCTTTATATTATTCAAGTCATGCATGGTTTAAGCAGTTTGAAAATGCTTAGTAGTTTTGAAACACGAGGCTACCGACTGTTCTTTGATAACTCTGAAGATAAAAGAAAATCAGTTTACTGAATTGCACTAACAACAAACCAAAGAAAATATCTGCAGGATATTTGAAGGCTTTTAATTAAAAAAACATGCATTGGAAATTACGTGAGCAAAAACTCAGATCTAAAACTGACAACCATCTACAAATCTATTCTCACAATTGAACAGTGAAGGAATAACTACAGTGGTCAGAAAAATTAGGGATGATAATACATTATTTGGTAGGACACCAGCATTAACTTCTTTGGTTTGGGGTTTTTGCTTTGTTTTTAAAGCACAACTTTAAGCACATGCAAGAAAATCCAAGTCTCACTTTCACAACCATCTCACTAAGAGGTCCTGGTAACTGCTCAGGTATCCAGATACTTTACCTATTAACAGATTTGAAGAATGGTTTATGAATTTAAAAAATTTGCAGCAGTTCTTTCAGTAGGATTAAGGTTCCTCTATTAATACAGATGCTTTAGGAGCACTCATTAAAACTGTGCTTCACAAAATTTAAAATTCATGCATCAGATGCTGATTAGAAACAACAAAAACACTAAACAAATCACTTCTCAAAATACCTGTAAGTACCAATTAATTATCCAACTCTTGGGCTACTTTCTAGGTTCCTTCAGCACACAATGAATTTCACTAAGGTCTGGTTTAAATAAACCTACAGCAATAACAGACTAAAGGCTGCAGTACATGTCTTGAATGATCCAGTGACTCAAACTATATAAACGGAAATACCTGAAGTTTAAGAAAAAGACACTAAGAGTAATAAAATTCTGGAATAAATCTTCAAGAAAATATAGAAGACTGAAGCTTTTTCAGAGTGGTTGGTTTTTGAGATGCGTGTTTCTTATCAAAATTATTTCCAGGTTAATCAGGAATTCCACACAACATTGAAAAGGGCCAACCAAATAACCATAACGAAAAAAAGTCTCTTTTGACCTTGTTTGGGAGTCTATTCTAAAGACAGACACAATGAAGAAGAAAGTGTTAATCCAAATGATATGCCTTAAGGCAAAAAGCACGAACAACTCTGAACTATGTGATAAACCTCCCTCCTTTGAGAATTTCATGGTGAGAAGAAGGCATTACATCTTGCTAATACTAACAGGTATTAATGAGAATGCAATCTTAGCCTTGTGGATTAATAAAAGATAAAATCCAGCGTTGGCTACACATCAACTCAAACTCCACATCAAGGACTGTGTGACCTTATATTAAATAAAAGTGAAGCAAATCAAAAATAAAAAACCTTTTTTAAGAACTTAAGATCAAAGTAAACTACCTAAATTACTCCACAGGAAGTCTGATAGTATTTTCATCCTAGCTGTTATTTTACTGAAACTTCAAATTCAAAAAGAATTTTAAAAAATATTATAATTGAACCTTAAATGAAATTAGGCAAAATTCAGCACCTTCTACAATTCTGTCATCAATATCTTGGCCAGTACCGTAGGACTCGGTCAAATATCTGTAAAGCAAGATAAATACAAGTAAACTACTGAATTTTCCCATGTGTTTCCTAAATTAAATACAAGTTCCATGCATACAGCTTCAGCATTCACAGTCATCAACGTTAATAAAATGCTGAAGTGTAGATGGTGATATAGGAAATTGCAATGCATAAGTAAAATAAGAGTCAATTTAGCAATTGAAGAAAGAATTGAAAACAAATCCAAAACTTTCTCTTAAGTTGCACCTCTTTTTCTGCTCCCCCACTCCCAGCTCTCAAGTACAGGGCATACCTCCTGGAAATTTACAACTAAATCTGGGACACATTTTAAGCTGTTCTTGAAATAGAACCTTCCAAAAAAGTTCAGGAATATTAACAGAGCTATATTACTGCCTTTTGCCTCCTGATGAGTACACAAGGAAGAAGCCTTCCTGTTTTAAGAACTCATTAATAACATTTTGTACACATGTTATGTGGGGGCAGTTGGCAGAGAGATGCAGCAGTGTTGACATTTGCCTGCCACGTAATCAGAACTTCCTCTGTTGAGAAGCAGAAGAATAACATCCTTTGAGGGTATTCCTCAGGGGATGTTCTCCCAGTACGTGCTGTGTTTTGTGGGTTTTTTAAGCAGGACCAAAGTTGTGAGCCATATTCTGTCAGGACCTTGCTGCAACTCCTACAGCTCTCCAGTAAAGGTTGCAAAGGGGCAGAGAACAGTGTGATGGACAGATGGCCAGCCACGATGATTCTTCCTGGGATATATAAGATAATACCACTACCACGTATATGATGCCAGGGAAAAGGCAATTAAAGATTTACACAGAGAAATAAGGCAAGGAGAGGACAGAATGAATTCAAACTGCCTGCACTGTGCTTTCCTAGTCAGGTCACTTGTATTCTAGTTGAATTTAATGGAGCATTACTCTCCAGTTATAGTGTTCCAGAACGATATAAATCAGTTAAAGTATGACACAAATATGGTCAAGATTATTTAAAACATGTAAGAGGAAAGCTGATCAGCAATATGATCTCCACATAGTTTAATGTGCTTGATTCAATATCTTGCATACATGAACATCAATAAATAAATAAATGAATCCCATTATTCAGTATTTATTCAGTAAAGTAGGGTAGAAATATATTACAATTGCAATTGTCTCAGCAATTAAGAGTTAAAAACTATGGATCATCAAGCAAACTGAAGAAACAACGACAGGGAAAACAGATAATTGCACACATATGGCAGAAACGAGCGTGTCTCGCAAGACACAGTTAAAAAGCCTAGTTTCCATTTTATCAATGACAATACCAGATACACAATACCGAAACAACTGCATCATAGACCATAATAACTGCATAATAAACCATATATGATGCCACTACAAGTGAGTTAAGGCTTCTGTAGACGTACAGCCATTGCCATATGATCCATATGCTATCTTGTCAGCGTTTAAGTTTAACTCTATGAATCTCATGAACTAAAGTGTATGTAGAAGCATACACATAACCTTCTGAATCAAGACTTATTGCTGTGCTACTGAGTGCCATATAATTAGCTCTGTCTGCATTTCAAACAAACACATCAAAACAAGAGATTCACTGAATTACTTTGGTTCAAAATTACAAACCTCAAAACAAATTTAGTGTTTTCTGTCTTGCCAGCTCCGGATTCTCCAGAAACTATGATGGACTGACTCATCTTGAGTACTTTCATATCACGGTATGCTTTATCAGCTTAAATGAAAGAATACATGAAACATGACAAATTATGCTTGCAACTCTCCTGAAAAATCAAATAAAAAACTAGCCACAATACAAACATGCATTTGCATCAGCATTTTCAAAAAAATCTTTACAATTGAGTGTACTACATTTTATTAAATTTTCTCTTTGAATTACATGATAGCTATCCACCCACCAACACCAACATGTGATAGCTTGGAGTCTTTGATAGCAAAAATTTACCAAACTCAGCTAGGACAAAGTAAAACAAAAAACATCCACCTGGTATTGAGCATTTTCAGTTAAATGTGTTCACAAAACAGCTGAAAATCAATTTTACTTTAACATATTTTTAAATGCACAATGTGACAAATCTTTTCTTAAACACAGTTACATTCAAAGTAATTTGTAATCAGGTTTATACCAATAATAATATTTGAATGTGCTTTCTGCCTATAAAATAATCATATAAAAAGAAGCAATGCATGTGATTTGGCAATGTAGTGAAAAACAAATGCAATCAACTATATTTTGCCAGTTTTGTTTATGTCATTCTTCATTTTTAAAAATGTGATTATTTTTATGATAGTTAATTATATTAAAACTGCTCAGACATAAAACACTGGAGGAACAGAACAATCATAAATAGTTGCCAAAAATCTTCAAACTGTATGTCAAAGTGGTGAAAATTTGCAATGTTAGCCACCATGTTTTATTTGTAGTAACTCACAGTAATTGTATCAAAGGTGCAATTTATATACATCTACAATTTAATGCTTGCTTTGTAAAAGACAAAATCAGACTCAATACATACCAATAGCAAAGACATGTGGTGGCAGTGTCCCAAGTGATCTACCCTGGTACTTTTTAATAGTCTCCGAAGAATAGAACTTAGGTATATCAAAATATGGATTCACTGCAATAAGAATGTTGGCTACATATGTCTGTGAAGAAAAGAATTAACAGCAAATTATTAGCTACTATCCAACCAAAGTAGTTAACAGCAATTTTCTATTATTATTGAAGTGTAAAGTTGAAGTACAACAATTAGATTTGCAATTTTCTCCAGCTAATGCAGATCAAAGAAGATATATGTTTTCAGAGTTCCTCAAATCATCTTTCCAGGACTTCTGTGAAAAAGCACTTCTCAGGAGAATTTCCTAACCACTGAGCTGTGGAGCATGTCCCTAATTTGACCTCTGTCTCTCTCCTTTTAAATGATTTCCTACTGTATGTTTCTGGATCAGGGATAAGGCATCACTACTTCCTCTTCTAAAGCAAAAAAGTAAGCTCTTGGCTAGCATAATGCGGTCTCCTCCAATGAGGACAATAATTTTTCAATATCAAATGGAAGCAACTCAGCAGGAAGGACTGACAGAATAGTGCCTGGGAAATCGCTCAAGCCAGGCAATAAAAGCATTGAGCTGAGAGAAATTAGCTACGGCCGCTTCCGAAGTGAGAAATGCAGAATACAAATGCTTTGTAATTGACAAAGTATATGGGGGGCCCCCGGCCCGGAAGGCTGCTTTTTACTTTTCCATCTGAAAAATCTTTTATACTTTCATTTTAATTATCAGGTCATATACAAATATGGCCTGATGTCTGAAGCACAGAAAAAAGCAGATTGGTGGGAAAAGGTATAAAGAATATCAGATAAACCCTCAGACTGAATAACTTACTTGGTTTATTGTTAGTGAGTATATCCCAAGACTAAAAATCTCCAGACTGAATTCTAGGCGCTGTCATGAAATGCTGATAGAAGGCTGGATCACACATAACACAACATTTTTTTTTCAGATGCTTCTATTTTCATCATTATTTCAATGATATAAGACAGAAGCACAGAGCTCTCCAAGAGCTGCAAGTATTAAAATTCATTTTCTTTTCAGTGACAATGCAAATACTGTCAATCGGAACTAAACAAAAAAAAATACAATAAATTCCAACTGTATCAAAAAGTGATGATACAATCACTTTGATAATTTGATACAATTGTATCAAACAATGAAAGGGTAATTAAGATAATTTGATATTTTTTCCAGAAAATGTATGTACATGGGGCAACACATTAGTAGCACTTGTTCAAAGGGAAGATAAAATTTATGAACCGAAATACTATCCTCCCTTATGATAAGATCAGTTTTAGAGTTTATTTCATTGTTTTTTTGTGTCTGTTTCATTAGTATTTCTCCAGTACAACATTCAAATCACCATTTTAATTCATTTATCTTAAAGCTGGTGCTTTATCTTGAACCTATAAAAAATGTATAGCTCTGTAAAGTTAACTACAACAAAGGAAAACAACTATACATTCTTTATGCCTATATAAGAGGATATCACTCTTAATCAATTCATTTTAGATCAGCAGACTAACAAAAAGGTTGATTTTTCTTTCTGAAACACTGACACTTAGAAATTGTGTAGACATTTTGCATTATTACAGACCAGCTTTCTATTAGAAAAAAAAATAAGAAAGAAAATTCTTATCTTTCTTCTGTTTCACAGCTGTCAGTGTCAGGGCAGATGGCAAGGACAAAATGTAATTCAGTCAGAATTCATTAAGGACAATTAGGCAATCTGATAGCAATATAAAAGATTAAGATGGACATCTGAGCTAGGAGGTGTTAGAGACAGCACCTGTTTGCTTCGTTCAAAAATAATGAAGAAAGAACCATCTTTGTTAATAGCTACTGCAATGGTGAAGTAAGTTCCCTACAGGAATTGACATCTGCGATACAGCACCGTGCTACAGCTGCAACTGAGCTGTCAGGTTGAGAAAAATCTATTGCTCTGCCTGGTAAATTTAGCTAGCGTCAATCTGATACAGGTCTTAAGCAAGGTAGCAAAAAAATGCCTGAAACCTCCTAAATTTATAATGGTACAATTTCTTTTAATGTTCTGTGATCGGAGGAAAATATTAATTTTTTTGTGGATTCAGTTTGTTTGAAAGGATACTTATCATTAGACTGGTTGACATGACAGGTAATACTTACGTAAATTCTGTCCTTACTGTATCGAACTTTGATATTGTGAAGGAGAGTGGCTTCATTTAAATACATAAGGGAACCTAAAAGTAAAAGAGTCATACAGCATTAAGAGAACAGGACTATCTTTGTGTACAGCCAAGCAACAAATCTTAGGATTAAGGATTTTACTTCCTCTTTCTTTGACTACAGTTTAATCCTATCATTCCTATCTCTATATTTTGTTGAGGCAGATCCTCTAACTCAATCAATATACACTTTAAAAATTGTAGACCTGCTCTTCATTGTACAACCTAAGTTAAAGAAAGTTGCTGAACCAAGAATTAGACTACAGGAGCCTCAACAGAGATCCTGCAAGTGTAAATTGTCCACTCCAAAGTCCCTTATAACATCCTCACACACAAACACAGTGCTTTTCCCTCCATGCTATTCTACAAGCATGGAAACCAACAGCTATCAAAATCCATCGCACCAACTCTTTTATTCCTTCCACATCCTCTCTGATCTCTGCAACAGCATCCACAGGACCACACCATGATGCTTTGAGTAAATGCTGGCCTCCTGGAGAATTTCAGCTCTTCAATTTTTCCAATGTATTTTATAGAGACAGCAGGGCAAACATCATTGCAACATCAAGCACCAGTGCAACCTTTCATATCTGTAGGCCTCCTCACGGAAACTGCTGGAGGGGGACAATATTACCACAACAAAACCTACCTATTTTTTTCTTTATATGTTAATATAGAATAACTGCAAATTCCACGAGCCCATCACAAAAAGGCAATGCAAGGCAGAGAGCAGGCACATGCGCAGTTTCAACACACTGGAAAAGCTAGGCCTTGTTTTCAGCTATGAAACTCTGGAATGTGTTTGGCAATCCAAAATTACAGAGAGCACTACTTATAACAGCCTCAAATATGTTTTCAAATATGTCTGGTCATCTTTTTCTATTTGCCTAAAATTTAAGTGCAGAATACCATTTTGTCTTGTAACAATTGATTGGCTACCATACTTAGTATTCCTTAAAGCATTAGTGGCAAGTGAAAAGTTGTATACATTTGACTACTGTTTATAGAATAAGCAACGAGTGATAACTGCAACCCCCTACTTCACGAGGCCCGTACGTGCATTATCAGTAGGCAGTGACCAATAAAGCGTAGAGAGAGTGTGTCATTTCTGAACTTGAGCCAAGTGGAACCAATGCCCCTAGGGCCTAAAGTGCCCTGGCAGAGAAAAACAAACAGCAGAACCGTAGAATTGCTCAGGTTGGAAAAGATTTAAATTCTAGCTTATTTCTGTGGATATACAAGACAGACTGCAAATTCGCATTGCTTGTAGTCCATCTCCTCAGACACCTTGCCCAGAAAGGAAGCATGAAGCTCAGCAAGCAGCTCCTAACTTCTCCCTCAACGTTCCTTCTACTGACTCAGAAGATACTGGCAGTAGAGCAGGGAGTGGCTGTACCTCCCATTATGTATACCAAAACCAGTTCTAAGCAAAGGTCACTTCAGCAGTGGTTTGCAGTCTCCCTCTGGCTTGTTTAGCTCCACTGAATAACAGTGCTTCCTTCCCTAACTGAAACATAGCTTTACTTCAGATGACTGGAGGCATTCACATTTCTCAAAGGACCTTGCAGCTTCTGGGTTGTTTAGGAGAAACCATCTTCCTCTGAAAAATCTCTTGTACGTACAAATCTGCTATGTCAGAGGTTCCTAGACCACAAATTGCATGGCTGCCTTAGCAGACCTATTTATGCAGTCACCTCTTTGAATGAGGTTGTCCCAGGTGAAAGAGACATTACAGAAGGAAATGAACCAGAAACTTCTGCTTGCTCCAATAAAAGTTGAAATCTCCTTCTCCCTGTGGGTGTTGGTGAGGGGGGGTTGTAAATTTTGAACGTTGTTGCTTATGTTTAATCATTTTAATTCTCAATTCTGAGTTAAGAAAATGCTGTATAGTAATTGTCTTTGTACACTTAAAATTCAAAAGAAACAACCTTCTCCCTTGAATGCATCTTCAGATGAACCTCATGTGGTTTGCATTATATTTTAAAGGAAATCGTTAGGCATCCCCAAAAATTTGGTAATTATCCAAACAACACAGAACCCCAGATTTCAACATTCTCTTAGTCCCCATTATTCTCTTAGCAAAAGGATCCCAGTCCTCATTAAAGGCACTGTACCTGTAGATTCACCATGTAATGGGAGCTTGTCTCCAAAAGAAACACTGTCACCTCATTGCAAGATGTACAAAATAAAGCTTATGTCAGCAATTTCAAAAATGCACATTTTTTAAAATAAACTCCATAAAAGCAGCAGCCACATCCAGAAACAAAGACAGCAACCAGAGAGAGAATTACTGTTATTCATATTGCTCGTTCCTAAATATAAGCAGCATATGTGCACAGTCACATATTTATTTACATAAACTTCAGAGAAGTGAAGTCAGGCACTTAATGTCAGGAAATGCCAATGTCAAATCCATACATGCTGGCTCTCCTGTGCATGCAATAAAACGGGCTTTACATGGAAGATTATGTTTTATCCTGTAATTACTAGGCTCTATGCCTGCTGGACACTTTTTAAAAATAATTCTTATCTGACATCCTGCCCTCCCCATTCCTTCCTTTTATGGCTTTTTTTTTTTTGTCATAAAAAAATAGATGTTTCACATGTGGTGATAGCCCCCTAAAACTGAGTAAGCTTGACGTTGTTGGGGAGTGGAAGAGGGGTGTTAATCACAAGAAAATGTAAATTATTTTAATCCGTACCATTTGCAATATTAACATTTGAGGAAGAGCTAGGTTTACAAAAAGGTTCTCTCTCGCAGCCAACATATTAGAGATATGGAAGGCTAAGGGTGGGGGAAAAAATAAAAATACTTCAGCAGATTACTCCTGGAAGGGATTTAATCACTAAGGATAGGTTCAAATGGTGAGTGTATTATTAACTAGTTCTTCAGGATTTTTCAAAACTATTATAAGGAGAGACAGAAAGCATGTAGTAGTTTGTCAGGCTTCCCACGATTTATATTTAACATGCTCTTCTTAAAGATCAACAACACTCAGCACAAATCACAGAATGGCTTCGGTTAGAAGGACCTTAAAGATCATCCAATTCCAAACCCTGTACTGCGGGCACAGTTGCCAACCATTAGATCAGTTTGCCCAGGGCCACATCCAACCTGGTCTTGACTGCCTCGAGAGATGGAATATCCACAACTTATCCACAATCTTCTCTAAGAGAGAAAAGGGCTAAACTTAGGATTCATATATGCTGGAGGTAAACCTCAACTGCTGAGCAAAAGGTAGAAATGTATTGGAAGTCTGAAAACAATATCTGATGCAGAAAGGATTGCTGAGCAAAATATTTTTAAGTTTTATATTTTGTTTAGTAAACCACAGAAGAGACTTTCTTCAATAGGACTGTTTTAACTTAATTGAATAGTACTTTGTTAAAATCTCAAATTATATCTATTATCTCATTCCAATTTTCAGTTCCCTGACTAGAACACTCAGATACCAGGACATCTCAGTAGCATCACTGTGACAGATGAATACATTAAATGCATTTCCCTAACAATTTCCCTAATCACAGAAGACAGATACCAACTTTGAAAAGTTCCTATCCACATTACATTCACAAAAATACCAAAAAAATGGAAGCAAAGCTGTCAGTTTGGTTCCACCTGTAAAAACACTGCATCAGCTAAGTCCAGTCAGAAGCCTCAAGTCTCCTTTTGTTGTTACTTACTACAGAGCAGTTACAACAGCTGTATTTCCTGCCATGGGATATAAATACTATTTCACAACAGAAACTGAGGATCTTAAATCATCAAAACAAATTTGAAACTCCCACTTTTTATTTATTTTAAATGAACAACAGAAACTACTTTTCCCCACCATTTATGAAGTTACAGTTCTTTGGCCAACCAATAATCCTCATCAGAAATACTCAAAAGAATTCCATTCATCAGAACTTCAAGACAGGATAGTTTCCATGAACAGATTTGTTCACAAAAAGCAACAGTTCTATAAAAGCTGATGTTTTATCATTCATCTTTCTTGGCACTCTTTTCTCACCCTAGATTTGGGTACTCAATTTGTTTCTATCCAACAAACCACAAAATATTTAACAAAATAAAAGGCCTGCGATATCAACACAATTTCTATTGTGCAAGTTCACTTCAAAAGTCTTTCTCCAACATCACTCCTTGACCGGATTCAGTACAGCCCATTTACATTTCCAGTAGCCCCAAAGGGCCTGGATTCCTATCTCCAAATTCTGAAAAATTATCTTGACATTTTCAGCTACTCTTGCTTCCACAGGAATGCTACCTGAGGAATGAATGGGTTACGTGCAGGAAAATGCAGTAAAATACAGAGGCTGATAAAGTAACTAATTCTTAGGCTTTGCTTTAAAAGATACAGTTAAACACAAAATACTCATTGCAGTTGATCAAGATGCTGCATATATCTGAAGTCAGTCAAGTAATAATTGCACCTGAGAACAACACATGTAACTACGGGTTTCCTCTAAAGTGCGTGGATGAAAATTCAGAAAAAAAAATGCAATAGATTATATTTTAAATGGGCCTACTTTCAGTTTAAAGGGTTAGTAAAGTTTATACACAATAAAAAGGAAATACTGCAAGCAAACAACATTCTCACACATTTTTACTTTTTTTTTTTTTTTCCCAAACGCAAAATTTATTTTTAAATTTGTAACTTACAATTATCTTCCACATCTTTTTTGCTGTCCTCTTCGGCAGGAAACACTTGATTGATAGCAGCCTGGAAAGTCTGTTAGATGAAGAACATTAACATTGTCAAAATACCTTCAAAATAAGGACTTCAAAGATGTCTTATCTCATGTTGCAAGTAAACATACCACCACTGAAGTTTCTAGCTTTATAACAGCTTTGGAAATCATACTGACCTACTAGGTGTAGACAACAGCTGCATCATTTGCATTATTGAACTACACTAGAAAAATTACTGTAATATAAATTCTTACCACAAAAATATTTGATCCTTTTTGAAAATTGCACACAGTCGTTGGCACACAAGAGACAGTGCCAAAAATAAGGATGAGAAAACTAACAATACTGCAAAGGGAAGAGAATTCTAAAGAACGAACAACTCCCTCAGCTTTGCAATGAAGGAAAAAGAAGAAAAATGAAATTATTAGTTCAGTGGAAGTAGCACTGTCATTTTCACATTTTGTTTAAAAACATTCTCACTTAAAACATAAATATTCAGTAAACAATATTCTCTATATCCCCAATTCCCATAACTCAGGATTGTAACCATTTTCTTCAGCAAATCGATATTCAAGTTGAACAAGACTTTTCTTCAGCCCCTATACTCCAAAAGTATAAAACCAGCCAGTTATCAAATGTTCATGTCCAAGTGAAAAAATTCATATTAAAAACAACTTTGTTTCTCCTTTATTCTCCAGAAATGATAATTCACATTGTTGTAAAAACAAAGGAAAAACATCCCAGAATGCACGTATTACAGCATCTGCATAAAACTGCAGGACAGTGTAAGAAGTAGGAATTCAATTATACTTCTTGTATTAATAGCTTGCTTGAGCCACCTAGGAATGAACAAAAACCCTGTTGTACCAATTAAACACAACAGCCGCCATGCTGCTACAGCCCTCTTCCCTGTGGAAATGCAGATAAGAGCTCTAGCTTACTCTCTATTATTTTAAAGGACAACTAACCAGATCAAAAAGCATGATCCTAATAAACGAGAAATTTGCTTGTTTAACTTTGTATCCAGCAAGACAGTACCGTGAGAAGCATCTCACATGGAAATTTAGGAAAAATCCAGCAATTAGCTCATCTTTGCTTCATTACAAAAGATACAATAATTGTGATCTTGTAACTTAGACCATCACAAACATCTGCACATTCCAGCTCTCTCTGAAGAGGAACAGATTAATAACATCACTGAGCAAAAGTCATTTCTGCCAGCAGAAAAATTTCTGCTCTGCAATATCCCTTCCCTATAAAGTTATTGCGCTGTATGCAAATTATAGTCATAATAATTTATATTTTGCCATTTCCTTATTTGGATTGAAAAAAAAATGCATAAAACGCTTCTGTAAGGGAAAGGAAGCTGCATCATGACTTTGGAACACTTGTATGCCTATCAGAACACCTTCCTTCAGAGCATGGTGAAGCTGTGGCGGATCTGAATGTCACCCATCTCAGCAGTTTGGTTCTAGCAGAGCAGAGAGCTCTTCCCTCCCTCTCAAAGCACTGCAGTTAGAATATATTACCATCATTTTTTCTGCAAGTTTGCTGAGAATAAAGGTGTTCCTCCCTGGGTATAGATCTATTTGAACACAACAATTTCCCACATACTCAGTTCACAGAATCACAGAATTGTAGGGATTGGAAGGGACCTCTAGAGATCATCCAGTCGAACCCCCCTGCCAAAGCAGGTTCCCTACACCAGGTTGCACAAGTAGGAGTCCAGGTAGGGCTTGAACATCTCCAGAGAAGGAGACTCCACAATCTCTCATTCATTTCATCCATTTTGAATGAAATAGCAGAAAAGATTAAGAAAGCTTGACTGGCTTCACAAAAATCTAACTTTACTTGTTCTTGTCTGAGGATGTTTAACCACTACTAAGGACAGTTATTAATTTTTTTTTTAAGCTGAAAACATGATATCCAGCTACTCTGTAACACTTCACAAACCTTTGATACTCCAACATTTGACAGATCTCAACCCAGTTACACCACATATATCTCAGAAGAAGGAAGAGCTTTTTCAATCTCAGCTTTCTGATCAAAGATAAATCTCAATTAGAAATTAAGGAGAATTCATACTGGCTGCCCTCCTTCATTGTTTCACAGAATGGGAATTTTGAAATACTTGCTAGAAATTGCATCATTAGACATGCTGCAGAGACGGCTTGTGACAAACCAGATGCCCTTCCCCAAGCCCTTCCTGTCTTATCTAATTTAGTACAATATAACATCTAAATATTTAATGAATGTCAAAACTAATAAGCAATATAAAGACAATTGTTCTCCTGCTGGATTTTTTTTTTTAGTTCAGAATAGTTTAAACTATGTGAACCAAGAATTTTATTCCTGTCATGATTGCTCCAATGCTTTACGTTCAAGGTGATTACTTCTTGTGTAGATAAGTACATTATTTAAAGATGTAAAGTTCTAAATATTGCTAAATGCCATTAAAATCTGACCTATTAAACAGAAAAATAGGTAAGCTATCATACAACTATCATTTAAAAATATATACATTCATTGTTGTTCTGTATTTTGAAATAAATTGGCTTTTAGAGGAAAATGTTTCAGGTCAAAGACAATTTAAAACATAGTTTAGGACAAACTTTCTAAAAATTGAGAGGATATTATTCTTATGAAGTGGTCTCAGAAGGCAAAGCAGATGATTTGTGGGTTTTTGTGTAGGCTTTTTTTTCCTTTTTGTAATGAGGCAGCCCTTGAAATCCAATGGCAATCTTAACAATTTTTCCAGAAACTAGATGAGTGAAAAAAGATATCTTTCCGTTCAAGCAGGATCTTCTTTCTGCCATGTAATCCAATACGTGTAACCATGTCTTCCTTTATACCTTCCAGATACAGACAGGGAGACATCCCTGCTCTCAGCTGCATTTCACAGAACAACTTAAAGCAACACCATTCATATGGTGGATAAGAGTCTGCTTTGTTTGCTCACGCAAGCTGCACTCACTGCTAAAATAATGCCTTTGCTTGAAAACACTGAACTTTGGACATTCTGATCCTTACTTTCAGAGCACATTTATTCATTTATACTTAACCTGGTAAAATGCCTTTCTGGTTATTCAGAGCATACTAGGATAGGGGCCCCACAAAGCCTTGCAGAACCCTTCAGAGACATTCTCAAAAGACATCAGGTGGCTCTCGGGTGAACCCAACAGGGATGTAAGCTGGGGTCTGCAGCAATAGGTGCCTCCCCAGCAATGCCAGAAACTCATTACTACAGTTCCATGTGGGTCCTAGAAAGGCCTCTCAAGGTGCCAGCCCCTCTGAGGCATCTCTCTAATCACTTAATTCAGATTTGCTACCTCTAGGAAAATATTAAATTCCTTGTTTGGCCATTACACTCAGATCTGCCTTTGCCCTGTTACAGCACCAAGCAATACAACAGAAGCTATTTTCAACAGATGCTAAGGTCAGGATTTCTGATAAGTTTGAAAGTACATTCTGAGTACAAAATGTGTAAATGCAGCATCAGCCAAGTGTAACAACAGGCCGTCTTTCCACTGCCTCCCTCCTGGCACCCCAACATGGGACAGAAGGCAGGAGGCAGGCTCCCAGCTGGATGGGAACTCACTCATTCACAAACCACTCTCTAGATTCCCTCTTTTCTTTCCAGTTTTTTCAGCCCTGAAAGCCCACGATCTAGCTTTGGAGAGCAACTCCCATCACATAGCTCATGCACCCTCTCTTCAGATAACAAGCTCTCAACCATGTGCATTACTCTTACACAACACAGTTTTGGTTATTCAGATCCCCATCTCTCTTTAGACGCCTTGGCAGGAATAAGTAAATACTGTTGCTAGCTCTACATGAGCTGTGGTATCTAGAAATGCTATTGCTGGTTCGTAAGTAAATCAGCATGTTTGCCAGCTACCTCCACCAGTCTGGGCTGGGCTTCACAACACAAAGCAGTCTGTGGCCACACATGCCCTAGGTCCTCCTTCCTGCTGCTGCTTGCTGCCATTCTGGAAATTTCCCACTTCTCGGCTGCTCAGGCAGATCCCCTCTCTGACCTAGTTTGCTGTGTTACACAGCTCCACTGACATGGCTGAGGATGCCACTGCAACGCCATGGCTTGCTGCGGGCAGGGGAGGGAGAGAAGGCTTTAGGACAGCAGGAAAATGCTGCCTCATAGCATTTATTGCAGTTATTAATTTAATTAACCATTAATGGTATAAAAGGCAACAATCAAGAAAAGCATACATGCACGTTTCCATTTCAGTCAGTTATCCTGAGTGAGGTACCAGCTTCTCCAGAGAATACGTATGACATGTTAATGACCCAGATTAAAAAATAATAATAAGTTACACTGCCCGGGTATGTTTACATGATCAGGTTACTCATCTCCTCCCTGTAATTATCACAGGCAGTTCTGGAGCTGCTGGATCACTCCTTACTGAAGAGCACTTTTGAGCTGTCATTTTGAGTAAACAAAGCTGATAAGCGTGGGTACAAATGCTGACTGCATTTGTACATTGACCCCAATGCACAAAAGCAGTGTCTTTTCCAAAAGACAAAAGCAGTCAGAAACATTTCACTATAAAGGGAAATTGATGTCACTTTGGAAAGACTGAGAAGGTAATCAAGATAATGCTTTGCTCCACCACTGTGAATATAAACGTGGTACTCAGAACTATAGGACTATAATCTCCACTGAATTTAAATGCCCAATTGTGAAATGTTTGGTCCCTTACATGAATGAACACACATTGTTCATTGTCAACCATGAAGGTAAAATGTCTGTATTTTAGAATCCATTTTAAGAAAATAATAATAATAATAATAATAATAAAGAAGGAAAAAAGGAAGGAGGCAAAAGGGCGCTCCCAAGGCAGCACACATATTAGAAATAAACAGAGATTCAAGACTCTCTTTATCAACTGTTTTTGTTTTCAATGTGTGAACTTTTGCTCACATCAGAACCTTTTGGGGATATAAACAGAAACAGGGCTAGGGGTCAACATCATTTAAATCAGTAAAAGCCTACTTAATCGCAGCTTTGGAATATTTAATATGCTCTTATCTGAATAATTTTGCTTTTTCCCAGACTGAAGAATGCACCAAACATACAGACCTTATCTCACACACAGATATCCGATGTTACACTTTTTACTTCTGAGGAAAGAAAAATCTACTTCCTGTAAAATATATATGTAAATTGTTTAAGAAAATCCAAAAACATTCCTCTCAAAGGAAGAACTGCTGCATAACTTTTTGATCTATGACAAAGCCCTCTCTATTACTGAAGATGTGGGAAAAAAAAGTTACCAAAAAAATTGCCTTTCCATACCTGCAGTTACAAAACAGACCAAATTGTTAGAAACAGCATGCATCACATACTGAAAGACCAAATTACAACTTCTAAAACAACGTATAACCTTATTTCAGCTAGTAAAAACAGGGATGCTGGCCATCTGAATTAGGATAATTAATAGTAACAAGGCACTTCCTGTAAAAACTGACATTTAATTACAATGTACTGAATCTGAAAGATGTCATGATAAATGATGCAGCTTGAACACATTAATTAGGACTTCATTTTAGAAATTATATTTCTTTTGCCTTTAATTTAAAGTAGCAATTCCATAAGACCTTTGATTGACATTATGTTACACTTCACAGCACTCAAGGTAAGAGGATTCATCACTCAATCTTTAGCAATGTAACAGAAAATTGCCTAGTCTAAGACATAGCTTAGCACACTCCTGCAGGATTCTCTCTATATGTATCTACCAGAAAAGTGAGAAGTTAATCTCAACAACACATTCCCAACCAGTTTCAAATTTAGAATCATCAAGTACACAGTACTGAATCAAAATAACCATGGGGATTCAGTCTCCCCATCCTTCTTAAGCACGTACACACGTTCAGATAATTGACAGAAAGCATGCACTTCTTATCAGTGGGATATTTCACTTGCCCTGCAAGATAAAGCAGAATGAAGTTCCTTAGCCAAGCACAGCAGAACAGAAAACCTTTTCCCCACTCATTCAGACTGCATGTAATGGTGGATGTTGGAAAAGATTTGGCCCACAGGTTAAGATATATATATATACAGCTAAGGTTTTTCTCTGTTCTTTCACTTATCAGACACTTACCTTGCCTTTCTGATTCAAAGGTTCAATAGTTAAGTAGTCAGTACCAATGTCCACAATGATGCCCATCTGAAACCCATCAGTTGGGTGTGGAGCCCAAACGGGCTTCCCGTCCTCCATTGTGGGAACTATCCAGTATTTCCTGTAACAAAAGAAAAAAAGTTGTATACAAATCTAGTTAGATATCAGGATTTAGTACACAGGCTTAGTTTACAATATTTATTTCTGTTACCCAGCATGGAAGCAGCCAGACAACAGAATGGAGCAAGCCTGTCAAGACACATTCTTCCAGGCCTTTTCCATCCTGGGATACTTTACTCATAGAGGACTCACTTAAGCTTGTGTAAGAAGATGATTCAAGGACTGAAGAATTTTCTGGGTGGTCCACAGCCTACTACTAACTGCAGCTACTACTAACAAGTTATGAACAAAAAAGGAAGCTCAGCTCAGTGAAGTATGAAGTACTGGACAGATTCAAAGCTAAGTCTGTACTATAAGTGTGTAACTTTATAGATATGTATACACAGTGACACAAATGTAATGAATCATACAACTAAGAGAGGCTTGTCTTTACCTGACTTGGGGTGCAAATACCTTAATTTCTGTCAAGGGCACACATCCAGGTACGAGCTGAGCAGCAATGCAGTCCTTTCTCATTTGAGACAAATGAACGTATACACTTCTAATACAGCTGGGCATATGGCTCTTAAATAACCCTTTTATGTATTTCTTACAAATATATTGATTTTTCATACTATTCATTTGAGATACTAACATCCAACACAGCAACGCCAAAACTCTCCCTGTTAAGGAACTTTGACCTTATTTTCTGTAAAAATACGGTGTGAAAATAGTTTTAGATTATGTGGAATCTACAATACACAAGCGAAATAGATATTAAGGCCAAGACATTCAAACCTCAGGCTCCTCAAGTTATGCAGCTAAATAAGTTCCCAGTTAAAAGAAGTATTTGATTGCATGCAAATCTCATTGAACTAACCAGGAAAGCTGCCAGCATTGGCACAATCTGAATGGCTAATGGTGCCATTTTAAATATGCTGAATGAGTTCTTTTTTTTGAAACCTACTTTAGAGTCCTTACCCTAATGAGAATAGGGATTCCTCACAGCTTGAAAGGCTCACTCCTCCTGGCTTTCTCTAATTTCTCCTCCAAAACTGATTCACTTACCAAAGTGACACGTTTTAGGGATCCCAAAACTTGTAAAAACATTTGCCACATCACTAAGGTGGAACTTGCCCCTCCCAGCAAGAATCAAATGAGCCCGCAAGCCAGAAAGAGAACACTGGCAGCAAAGTCATATGCTAGGAAACAAGTCCCATGTTCGTCTTTTCCTCACATCTGAACGAAAAAGGAGCTTCAAAACATCTCACAGTGGGTGCAGATCCCCTGATCACAAGCAGTGGCAAGGAGAAAGGTCATTGTCCCCCCAAGGAAGTTTTACAAGCACAAGCCAGAAAGGACATTCTCATCTCACTGAGAATGTGTCAGGACATGCTTCACATGACCTGCTTTTTGCTGCCTCCAAGGAATTTAAAAAGGTCTGAAGAGACAGCAAAGCCTTGCTGAGATTGCTTTGGGAATGCTGCTGGTCTTAACATCTTCATTGTCAATGCATAAGGCAACCTGTCATTACCTTCAAGGTTAAATAACAGAAGATTTAAAGTAATTCTAAAGCAAAGACTTCGGAATGCAAAGTCAATTTTTTTTTTTTTTTTTTTTTTTAAAAAAAAAAATTTTTAATTAAATTAAAAAAAAAAAAATTCTTAATAAAAAAAAAATTTTTTTTTTTTTTTTTTTTTTTTAAATCAAGTAATGTTCATAAGAGACTTTGAAAAAAATGGTTGTATAGCATACTTCATTTAAAGTAAATATCTCTTTTATGTTTAAATATACTCAACTAATCAGTTAATTTTTCCCCCTAGCATGCGGTTCTGGATGTGTAAAGGTAATGAGGATTTTAACACATGAAAGTTTATAGCATATTCCAATCGCACAGCTCATGCTATTTAAAATAATTTATGGAACACAGGAAGCCTTACAGTTTATTTTCCCCTGTGGTTGGAGCACTTTAACTTCTCTTAACTGCTTACAAAGTTTATGTGCTACAACACTGAGCATCGCATTCGCTTCTATTACTTCCAGCCTCTTGCCACATGCCATGAACTCTGCATACCAGGACCATCGTTAGCATGTTGCCAGCAACATGGGATACATCCTGTAAAACAACATCTGCAAGCACTCACACTTGGCTGCTGGCCATATTCTCTTTACTGTAGGATACTGTAAATCAGACCCAAGCTACATCACTGCTCTGTGGGTTATTTCTTCCAGCCAGATCTGACCTCTGATCACTGCCACAATGGGTGCAGCTGCTAAACATCTGAGTTTATTTCTGGATATAACCAGGCCTTCATTTCTTCACAAGCCTATCATCTTTTAAAATCCTACTTCAACTGGCACTTCAGCCATAGGTCACACACCACTAAAAACAAGGCTCTCCTCTGCATTCAGTGTATGGCCAACTCTCCAGACATAACAACCTTGCAAAAGGAAAAAAAACTCAACAGTACTGCCAAAATTTCTGCTTCAACATGAATCCAGTCCTTCTAGTTGGCATCTGGAGGCTTCTGCTTTGTTCACCTACAGAGACTTCTGCATTCTTCCACAGTCTGAAGTCTATTTCATGCTTTATTAACGAATTATGACATGGTAATGTCATGAGCTAAAAAATCCTCTTGAAGGACAGAGCAATGAGTGAATTCAGCCACCAGAATGCAAAATGCACGTTTGAGAAAAACTAATTGAGGTTTTGCAAGCATGTAAGAATCCACTGATTGCATCAAAATTAAATGTAGTAGTTATTCATGAGATAGCTAATTAGTTTTAAGAAATACAGTCTTCTGCCTGAGAAGCATCACAAAACCAGTGACTGTAACATTCTGCACTCAGCACTGCTGAGTATCTCTATTAGCTGGGACTCTGACAGGCTTCTGGCAGCACAACAAGATCAGCTGCTGAAACCTATCAGGCTGTACCTGCTCTACTATCTACCTTCCCATCTGATGCAGATGCCCCTGCCCTTGGGACTGATGCATGAAGTCTGTTCTGGAACCAGCTCTTGCACAGCCAGTTTTCAGCTCAGCATTCTGAGATAAGCTGAAACACAGAAGTACAAGTTCAACTACCTGAGACAAGTTTTTTAGGAAAAGGCAACAGCATTCTATTGAAAGAAAAATGAAAATGAAAGAAAATGCTTTATTGATTAAAACACACAGATCAGAGAATGCAAACTAATAGCAGCATTTCTGCTAATCACAGCAGGTTGAACACCTTAGAAATACAGACCCAGTTCTTACATGTCACTGCCTAGTGCTTGCAGTTTCTCACAAGCAAGTGCCTTCACTTAATTTTCTCTGACACACTTTTGTAGCTGTACTTGCATTGAATTTACCATTTGCATAAGAAATACCTGCTCTGCTGTTGTCTTTATTACTCAAAACATTTTTTAAAAGAAAGCCAATACCTTAAAGCAGAATAGAAATATAGTTTTATTTTCTCTGTAGTAAGTGGGACAATTCACAGAAAAATCCTGGATCTCAGCAAAGAAAGCACAAAATTCTCTGCATCACTGGAGCATTCACAGATCTCTTCCCACTATCTTATCAGAAATAATTATAAATTAGTTCTGAAATCAGAAGGTGAAATAGCAAGTGAACCCAATCCTGGAAGAACAAATGCTATGGAGTAGAAGAGGTGATGAGATACAGCCTACAGACCTATACAGTCTGTACTATACCATCTCACTCTCCTGTTTCTGAATTTCTGCTCTAGTCAGGTTAGCACAGCTCCATTCCTTGCTTTGCTTCCTTCCTGTCCACCTTGAGAAACACCGGTCTTTGTTACAAGAGGGTCCTGAGTAAGAACCAGAGCTTTGCAAAAACACACATCCATTTCATCTGCAAATATTCAAATGGCTGCTGCACAAAGAAAAGTTCTTAACAGCAGCCAGATTTACAAACTAATAAGAAATTTCCTTCACAGGAACACAAATATTTTTCATGTTTACCACTATTCAGAAAATACAGTATTACTTGCACTGTGCTGCATACAAGAAAAAATTGACATTTAAAAAAAAAAAAAAAGTATTTGTACAATGTTTTTTCAAATGTGCCACATCTAATCAATTTCCATTTTTGTATCTACATGCAACTTTCACAGAGCTAAAATGCAAGCCATTAAATCAAGATGAAATAATTAAGAACTATCATAAAAAGCTATCATAGAAAGCATATCTAGTATGTGCTTTAACTGAACTGATTTCAAAGGTCTAAATGCTGTTTAGCCATTATTTACTAAGTGACAAGAACCTCTGCACAATTAAGAAAGAAAAAAAAAAAAAGAATAAAGACCTATACAGCACAAGAAAATCAACCAAATAACATCTCAGTTTTACAAAGCCTACCTAAAGGTGTGGGGATAAGAAGCCCAATGGAAAACCTCTTATTCTGAAGAAAGAATTGGCTTACTGGAGAAAGCTTCGTTGCAGGTTCTGCCAACTGGGTTTGCTGGCTTTTTTAGAAATGCACTCCTCACCAGACAATGTCAGCACCAAAGAGCTTTGTGGCAATCAGTATACAAAAGGAAGAATGAATTTTGTATGACACTAAGTTTATAAAACTCCAAGCTTATGGTCTTTTGACTATGATACTGAGAAACTAAGATTGATTCACATGAGGATAAACATTTGCTGATTTCCTCTGTGATTCTTGTATTTCTGTCAGCTTTTCAAGCTACCCATCTGTTAAGAATACTGCTCCTACTTCAGTTTTTACTAACAACGTACACTGGCTTCTATCCCAAATCTCATTAATTAAAATAAACCAAAGTGGAACTGCCTGATAGATCAAAAAAAAAAAAAGAAAAAAATTACATAGAATCTACAGGAGTATTCAGTCAATTCAGTGAGTAGTCAACTCACAGCAAGTAATAGCAACAAATAGAAGTAACAAAACCCAAAACATAATGTCAAATTTAAGTAACACTAAAAACGCAGTCAAAAATAAAGCTGAAGTCAAAATTAAAGGAAGAACTCTGGACACCACTTCAGAAGCCTTCCTAAAC